TATCACTATCACTATCACTATCACTATCATTATCATTATCATTATCATTATCATTATCATTATCATTATCATTATCATTATCATTATCATTATCATTATCATTATCATTATCATTTTCTTGTGAACACCTTCCCACGGCAATCCCCCTTGCGACGGAACCATTACCGGCCACCGAAACCATGCAGGTGGTTTGGCGAGCCACATGGCCAGGTGGTCATTCACTGCGGCTTGCCTCGTACAGGTGCGGAGACTTACACGGTTTTGCTGTACGATTGCTGTACGGATGCGCCTCTGGTTTGCCTGATTCCCGTCATATCTCGCCATTTGAGAGGGCGCGCGCTCGTGTTGTGTGTGTGTCGGTGTGTCGGTGTGTGTGTGTGTGTGTGTGTGTGTGTGTGTGTGTTGTGGAGAGGGCACTCTTTCCCAAGGCAGCTTTAAAGTCCCCCCCCCCGCCACTGTTGAGTCCTGGGGTGAGGAGCTCCTCCCTACCATCCCCCTTGCCCTACCTGCCACCACAACTGCCACGACCGCCACAACCGCCACAACCATCATCACCAACAGCAGTCCATCACCTCTCCCCATCGCCTTTCCAATCGCCTCCTCCTCACTTTCTGTTTTTGTTCTTCAGTTGTTGTTATTATTACTGCAGCGGGCTACCAGGTTTCTATACCGTAAGGCAAATGAACCGAGCCAAAGGGCACATCACCTGTCGCTGTAATCGACACACCTAGCCTGGACGGGAAAGGAAGGACAAGTGGTCCGTACCGGCACACACAACACCTCAGCAAGCTCGGCCACGACTAAGACCGGACTAGCACTGCTGGTGCCAACAGGGAGATTCTCCCGATATGGCTTCCCTGTGAATGACAAGCGCGTCACAGTATAGTAATAACTCAAAACGTTGGGAATAATTCGAAATTATGGAAGGTATTTAAATTTTTTAAAATAAAAATGTACGTTCTTTTTGAAAATCGACACGCTGACGCGTGTGTGCCCATGCCTACAAATGTTCCTATTTAATTTCCTGGGTTTGGGTTCTTCTCCTTACTACCATGCTCATGGCGGCCCCCCGCCGACCCGTGGGTCACCCCTGGTCATGCTGACCTTCTGACATGCTTGACCTTCTACCCCGGCCCATCCAACCCGCGAACCCAGTTACCTGGTCGCCGCCGGCTACCCCAATGTCGTGAGCGCCGCTCTGAACTGGTGCGTGCCTCTGGTGCTGGACGGGGTGGCGGATCTGTCAGAGCTGCTGGCGGAGATGAGGCTGCTGTCGTACAATCCCAGTACGGCATTGATCATGGCCGAGGAGGTGAGGTGAAGTGAAGTAGAGGGTAGGTGAGTAACTGGGAAAAGAAGGGAGTGGGTGTGGGGTTTGTTGCTCCACTTCTCAGCTTGTTCTTCTTCTTCTTCTTCTTCTTCTTCACATCATGTTTTCATGTATGTACATCTGTCTTCTGAAGCACTTTCCATGATCCTCTCATCAACCTACTCCTCTTTCTCCCTGTCTCTTCCTTCTGGCCGTACTCTTTCTGTTTCGCCATACTACACACGGAAGACACACGTACTTGGTTTCTCCGCCCCACATTCTCCCTTTTTCCTGCTCCCCCTTACTCTCCTCCTCCATATCCAGATATTTGCGCCGCAACAACCCTCTGTTACCGGTGGATGTGCGGGGGGTGGTCTTGAAATTGGGAAAAGTGGCGATGCCGTCAGCAGCGGCGGCGGCGGCGGCGGCGGCGGTCCCAGCGGCGGCGGCGGAAGCCTGCCTGAGGGCGAAACGGTTTCTGCGGAGTCTGGGGATCGGGGCGATCTTCCCCTGGAGCACGGCTCCAATACGGCCCTTGCATTCAAACACCTTGTGAATGCCCTGCGCGCGGCCGTTGAGCCGTATCCGCAACCGCCCAACGGTCAACCGCCGCCGCTCAACGGTCAAGGCCAATTGCCGCTCCCGGAGCTGATACCCTGGTCAAAGCTCTGTACGACGCAACGTGAGCAGTTTGTGGACGAGTTGCTGACGCTGGCCGACTTGCTGATGATTGCGCATGCCGTGCTTTTGACATTGCGTACGGCGTTGTCGTACGCCGTGGACCGCGGCGGCGTGGCGTTGGCGGCGGCGGCGGGAGCGCTGCGGCGAGAGGTGGCGGAGGTGCAGACGATGCGCGTGGCGGCGTCGCGGATGTTGGTGGAGAGAATGGAGATGCAGGAGCGTTCCGCTGAGCCGTTGTATCCCAACTACCTTTACAACTGCCGTAACCGTCATCACAACCACCAGCATAACCGTCAGTCCCTTAATAAACAGCAGCACCCCGACACTCAGGTCAGTACGGCAGCAACGGCAGCCGCGGCCGCACCAGCTATCGCTAACGGACAGGGGGCCGCAGCGGCAGCGGCAAACGGTAATACTGAGAACTCGTACGGCAACGGCAGCGGCGGTGGCGATGGCAGCGGCGGCGGCGGCGCGAGTAGCGAGTGCGAAGAGCTAGATGAGCAAATGGAGGAGGTTGTGTCGTGGCGCCACGTCAACGGGCTGTACGAGCACAGCAAGACCGTACTGCAGTGTGCAGCGGACGCGGCGGCAGCGATGCTGGATCCCCAGGCTCGCGCAGAGGACGCCGCCAGGTGCGCAAACCGCTCCGAGTGACTTTCCACTTACGGAGGTAAATTGATGCCTTTGTTGGAAATCAAAACATAACTTCCGAGGATTCGGAGACTTAGGGTTGTGGCAGTCTAAGGGCTCAAACACGCGATTGCTAATACTTGAAACAAAAAAAACAGAGAAACCTTTATCTGAATCTGAAACACCCAAAACAGGTCTGGGAACATTTGACAACTATTTAACCTGAGTCCCCCTCCTTTCGAGCTCTGCGAAGCATCTAAATTTTAAAAAAATTCAAATCGGTCAACCGTCCCGTAGACCTGAATATTAATCTTGTTTTTTTCGCAGCCTAACTGATCTCTCAAGTTACGGTACTCGCATCTATCCACAAGACGTGTTTTTTGCCGGCCCTTCTTCCGTCCACCCCAGATGCGACGCGCTGGTCACCGCCCTCTTCAACGACCTACAAATGCTGGATGGCCTCGTCGCCCTGGCCGCCATGCCGCCGTACCACCGCCTGCCGCTGGCGCAGTGGGACCCCATCGCCGCCGCCGCTGCGTCCTTCAGTCAGTGCAACGAGGCTCTGTACCGTCTGCTCGTGCTTCCCTGGAGTGGCGACGACAGCGGCGGTGGTGGTGACGGTGACAGCGACGGCGATGGCGACGGATGTGTGAGCCTGGCGGAGGAATTTGAGCGGTCCAGTTGGTCCATTCCGACGCTCATCAAGGGCGAATTTCAACCGCTGACCCAGCCGCGTATACGGCGCCTGTACGACGAAGTTCGAGGCCTGGCGGAGGAGTGCCTGCAGTACCTGAACCGGATAGCGCCGCCGCTGCCACAGCCACTGCCGCTATCGCCGGTAACTTCATCACCGTGGTTCTGCCATGGCGCGGGAGCGGTTGAGGCGGTTGAGGCGATGGTGGTGGGCCCCTCCTCCGCAGCGGCAACGTCCGTGGCTGGTCTGGCTGGGAGCGCTGCGCGTGTCGTTGGTGGCTGGAGCGGCACTGCCGGTAGCGGCCGTGAGGGCATGAACGTGGAGGTGTATAAGGAGGAGGAGGAGGAGGGGGAGGAGGCGGGGGGACTGGACGACCCGTCCTGAGGGGATGTGGGGGCGAGAGATGATGATGGCGATGAAGCCACGTCATTTCGAGGGTGCTTGTGCACTTTTAAAAGAGACCCTCGACAGGTATCGTGGTATCGTCAGAAATGGGTCAGTATCAGGGGTGGTGGTGGTGCTGCTGCTGCTGCTGCTGCTGCTGCTGCAACGGCCGCGGGAACACCGAGACAGCGGTGGCAGCGACTGCAAAACGTCCAACGTCAGAGATATGGTAAGAACTACCTACCAGCTGTATTAGCAACAGAAGCTGCCATAATAATGACGAATACAACAAACGAGATGTGCGAAACAGTCCAAAAGAAGAAGAAAAATGGCAGGGCATGGTACGCAGGCGCCCTCGCAATTGCACGTGCATGCAAAATATATAGAATTATCATACGTTTGTGACAGAGCTAGCTACCACACACTGGCAAACGTTAAATTTGGCAAATAGTTCTATCGGTGTTGCGTCTGCTGACGGCGATGGTGGTGGTGATGGTGGTGGTGGTGGTGGTGGCCGGGATCTGTAAAGAAGAGAGGGGTTGTGGCCTTAATTGAGTTTTCATCACGCGTATGAGCCCATCGGATTATGCTCCGGGACGAGAGTTGTGTCAGGCCAGGAACTGACTTGTTTTCTCTGGCCCTATATATCATGTTTTAGGTACACCCTAGATTGTGGTTTTCAGACAAAATCTTCATAGGCGCCTTTGAGGTACGGCAGTGGCAATCCGTCCGTACGCAGCGCTCGTCAGGCTCGTCAGGGCTCTGCGCTTTCTAGGTCCGTTTCTGTTCTCTTTTCTTTTGCGGCGAGGAGCTCTGTGGCGATGTGGGGCAGCGGAGTGTGTGTGCTGGTGTTTGATCTTTGCCTGTGCGTCCCTTTCTCCTCCCCCCCTGGGAGGGGGAGGGGGAGGAGGAGGCAACGAGCGCGGACTTCCTGTCGGTGTGGTGCCAGACTGCTCGCAATTGCGTTGTGCGCGGTTTGCATATCAAAATACACTCTGTTTGTCTAGTTCTCTGTCTGTTTGTCTGTCTGTTCGAAGCGATAGTCGTCCCGCTTTTCCGTTTGCCATTTTGTGTACGACATGCGACAAACAATGTATACAAGGCCGCATTTTCTAATGCCACTAATGCAATAGACCTCTGCCGCGTTAGGGCTGACACGCCGCCATGCGGCCTTACTGCAGCAGCAGCTGCAATAGCAGCAGTAGCTCGGCTCAGGTGACTTAAATAAATTTGAAAGGCCGCACGCGGGGCTGATATCCGTCTGGCCCGGCCCCATCCGGGGGGCTGCCCCATCACGTTCGCTCGCGCGTCTTTCGGCTTGCGCTTGGCTTTCCCAGCGCTTGGCTTTCCCCTCTTCTGTTCACATGTCGGTATATCGCTTTTGTAATGTGGACCATATCGGGAGGTGTCCGGTCACAGTCGTTGTTAGTTGCCCTTCTGAATCTGAATCTGAATCTCAAAAAAAATTCAGAAGGGCACGGGCCTTCCCTGTGGTGTCGACTTCGTCTACGGTACGGGCGCCCCGGCTCAGTTTTTTTGCGGTGCGAGGCGCACTTGGCCTTCATCCCGGCGGGGCTTTGACCAGGTCAAGGTTTTTGAACCCGGCCTTATATCGGGGGGCCTTCTATAAGTCCACATTTCTGGTCTTTTGTCTTGTCCTGAGGGATCACAGCTTCGGTCCTATCCTGCTCTGCGCTGACGGCTGGCATCGGATGAAATTAACTCTTTTCTTTCTTGCCGTTTGCCGTACATGTGAGGCTTTAAGAAGCCGCGTTCTCCGTTCTCTGCACAGTACGAGACGGCATTACACAGTACGCAGCAGCATGCAGGCACCGCATTTTTTCTCTGTGGTTTGGTATGGACCTTTTGGTCGTACAAGGCACAATCGTACTGCAACGGACTGCAGCAATGATTGCGGGAACGCGCGGTTGGCGGTGTGGTAGCAAGGTGTTGAGTGTAGGTTCTGGCGCGGCATCTAGATATAAATTTGCAGACTCGAAAAGCCGATACAGTACACAAGTGCGGCATTTTTTCGTGTCACGCGAATGTTTGCCTGGGCACGCAGCTTTGAATTTGTTGTGTTGCGCCAATTCCTGGCCCGTGCTGTGCGTGGTCGCGCCAATACAGTCTACTGGCGCGTCAATGTGACTTCAAGAAAGGTTGTTGATTGCGTGGATTGCAACACGCTATGTATACGGCTGAGGGAGCGCGGCGTCATCACTCCCCCATCAGCAACTCTGTAGTGTAATTCCTTTGTCACAGCAGCAATTCACCTTCCGATCTGTCGCCTTGTGGTCTTAGCTGCCTCCCCATCATGCTCCCCAAATCACCAGACCGCTCTTCAGTTCTAATGCCTAAATCTCTCTCTCTTACACTTTCTCTTGGGTAATGCATACGCCATTTCACCTTTGCGTTCATCTTTCTGGCCCCAGTACAGTCACGCAGCAGCAGCAGCAGGGACAGACCACTACGATAGATAGCTCAATAGATCCTCAACAGAAGAGGACAGGGTTCCTTCGAAGACAACTCATAAGTCGCTCAAAAGTCGCAACTTTACTAATGTCGCTGTCGGCTACAAATACTGAAAGCAAGCAATCGATCACAGGACGCCCTCAAGAGATAGGCCCCGAGTACGACCATGACATGTAACCCGCAAGTTACAAGAATCAAGCACGTTCTCTCTATGTGACAAACGCTCACACAAGGAATGAATAATTTGAAAGTAAAACATCTGAACGTACGTAAATTAATCTGTCTTCGCACTTCGCCCACAAAACGATCAGCGAAGCGAATATAAGGTGACTACCAAAACACCTCACAGAACTGACGCGAGTGAACAACACACGGAATACGCAAATTCACATTAAGATGACAAGGAAAGACGGTAAAATGAACATGCCGCTAAAATGTCGTCGGCAGCCCTTTCGTCCTCTCTCAGAAGGACCTCTCACCGTGGAAACATATAAGCAATTAAACAATAAAAAGCACGTAGTCCTGTAAACGCTCTTTCTTGCCCCCCGACCGCACAGCTGCGTACCACTCGGACGCGTCCCCTATGCACACATCTCGGCACGCAGCTCAGCTCGCTTTTGCACAGGCCCGTCCCCACCAATACTTGTACAGCATCATGTGGGTATTATCATCACAATGGCAATTATATAAAGTGCTACGGGGCCAGTGGCTCAAACAGATTATGATGTAAAGAGTGCCTTCATACCCTAGTGCAGCATAAACCTATTATCGCCTTCAAGTACATCACTGACTAGCCAACTAATTTTCGATAAACGGTGCATCCAACGGGTGAAGGCGCCCGTCAATACTATGACAGGTTAATACTATGCTATGCAACTATTCAGAGGCGATGGCCGGCAGCGACCGATTCTGATCCACCTGACCTTCGGGAGCATCCTTGGCTTTACTTCCCCCTTCCTGCTGCCCACTCTCGCAGCTGCCACCGTCATTACCCCGTGGACTATTACTGTCCACGACCAACAGCACTCGGCCGCCGCCGTTCCCAGGAATTGGAAGCACCACCGCGCCTAGGTGGTGATGGTGCTCGTGTCCCGGTATTGACGTTGAGTCCGCTGGTAGGTAGTTGACGGGCCTCGCGCCTGGCAGCACGATTCCGAGCTCAATCTTGAACAGGAAGGCGAAGGCGGCGTAGATGGCGGACGCGCCGCAGAAGAACCCAAAGTAGCCCGCGGCCAGCTCGCAGCTCTCGTTCCACACTCCGCCAGCCAGCAGCGAAAAGGTGATGACCAGGGTTGAGAAGATGGTCATCAGGCAGCCGTTCTTGCGCAGCGTCACAACGAAGAATCCTGGTTTCGGGAAGCAAGACATAGAGTAGACGGAAACAATCTCACTGAGCAGCTTAAATCAGGAAAACTTTGGCCAGCTGGCCAGCCCAAAGTTTTGATTCCAACTGGTTACGGGGGACAAACTGACAAGCAGCCCGGCCAGGACCATGCCCCACGGGAGCATATGCACGCATGCCTGCGTGCATACCTGCCTGCCTGTATCCCCCGTCTTCTTCTTACCGGCCGTCAGGAACGCCCACAGTCCGCACCAGAGCGTCTTGCCCGTGAGCGCGGTCTTGTACACCGAGGGGTACTGCTTCATCAGGAGCTCCAACAGGAACCTTTGGAACGGAAGGAAGGAAGGAATGAGCGAGCGGTGCAGGGAGAAGGGAAATAAACTGCGGTGTGAAGGCGGACAATGAACGGGGACTGGGCGATGGAGGAAGAGGCAGTCGGTGCCTCAGCAGCTAAGAGCGACAGCAGGAGGACGAGGGAGGGGCGCCATCAGGTGCGAGGTGGTCACACAGACCTTCGTAAATGAAGATCTCAGAAACAGAAAGGGGACACTGGCAAACTGCTCCATGTAGCCACATTGCTGTGGCGGCGCAGTTGCGTACAGCGCAGGACAGACCAGGATGCACCAGATCAAGAGAGAGGAGGCTGCATAAAGTAATATCAACTCACCAGCCCATCCAGAAAGCTCCGTAGCTGGCGAAGGCAGTGGCGCCGAAAGTGTTGCCCTTGATCAGCTGCAGAGTCGTGCGGCGAAGGAACGGGAGGAGGGGATCAATCAACAACGGGTGGGACGCGTTCAGGCATAAAATCGGTGTGTTCGGATTTTCTTTCGGTGAAGCGCGCGTCGGCGAAGCGCGCGTGGCGTGGGTGGTGAAAGTTGTGTGGGTGAAAGGAGGAGGTTGAGTAGGGATGTGGGATGGGGGCACGCAATGGGGAGATGTCATCGAGGCGTAGGCAACACGCCGGGAAGCACCCGTAGCTTAAATAGGATCGTGGCGCGGCTGAGAGTCTACTGTATTGCTATACCGCCGCGTCCGACACCGCCTTCGCTGCCGCCGTCACACGCCGCTGCACGTGCCGTACCTCCAAAACACCGGCGACGAACTGGCCCACTCCGCCATAGAACAGCGCGTAACAAAATACTGTCGGTAGGAAGTGGGACTCCGCCCATCTGCGAATAGCCATGTAAAATAGTAAACAGGCGCTTATGATGCATCCACTTGAAGCCAGGCTTGAAAGCGCTTGGATATCCGGTTTGGCCCGTCACATTGCTGGTGCCGTGCAAGGAGTAAGACATGCCTCCTTCGCTAATTGCGCCTTAACCAACTCGGTTGTGCAATTCCGCATTCGCCCTACTCACCTAGTTGTTATGAACATAAGCATGCTGGCACGCGAAGGCGAAGTTGTTGGACGCCGGGGATCGGTTTCGTGGCAGGGCGGTTGGCCGAAGGTGTGATTTTCAGGTTGCTAGGAAGAACCAAGTAATTGCTGCTGATTATAATTACAAAAAAAACCGCAGCCAGAGAGAGAATTGAGTCTCTTTTTTGTCCTACCTCGTCCCGAATGCCCATCACCTACCTCCAATCCCTTTCCCTATCGTCTCACCATGTCGTCATCCCAAAGCATAAAAGTCCAAAAGGTCCTGAGGGAGTGTGGCATATGTTTTGGGTCGGCTACTGGAATGTATGGTTGGGCATCTGGCATCACTGGCCGGTCCCCGCGCGCACCTGGGTCTCCATGAACCCAAGATCGTTCCGAATCCATTACATTTTGAGTCGAGTTTGAAGCTGGTGCTGAAACGGGTGGAAAACCCCTTGTCCCGACGCAGTCTCGACGGACATGGTTATTTTGAACTTCTCCTTCCCAGGCATGCCTTGGAGCCAAACCACACGATGTATCCTTCATTTAACAAGTTATCTAAAATGTTAAAACAGAGTTTTACCTAAGAATCATTTTCGCAGCTTCTGTGGGCCGGATTACGGACGAACAGGCCTGGCCGCTTCACAAAAATTGTAGATGCCCCTGCATGCAAATCAAGTCGAGTATCACAAAGTTTTAAGCGATGCATGTCTAATCATTACGTTTTAGCATGCCATAATCAACCTACTCAAAGCTGTACTGCAGGGCACGCGATTACGTATGCCTAATTGGCTCATAATTTCTTTGTCATTCTGGCAGCCAGAAAGGAAACCAGTCATTGGCTTTACGGGTTTGCATTCCAACACTTGACCTTGTGGGACCTTACTAAAGCTAGCTTCTGAGTTGAACGCGGTCCGCGCGTTCTACACGATACGCACGATTTTTAAGCCCGAAACCGGGCGCTGCGCACTACCTCAGCTTAGCACGAACTGGCTGACTGGGCGATGTAGGCCTTAAAGAGTTACAGTGCTCACTACGCCACTCCTAAGCGAACATAGCAACACCCGCATACACGCCTGATGTCGCGTCCCCAACGCTGTACTGTTTTATCCTTTTGCGGCATGAACACTTCCAAATGCTCCAGTTATTTCGTAGAGATATCCGGCGCGAACATCGCAGGCAACACCTACCGCTTTACCGCCGTTACCGCTTTTGGTAGCGACGTGCCGTCACGCATGCTGGCTTACCCCTGGCCACCGGGTTTGCGTCCTAGTAGTAATCTTCGAGCCATTACTGCTCTACTAGCACTTTTTACGTGTCATGCAGTCGGTACAGTAAAAGAACAAAAGCCAAAACCCATTTCCCCGTAGGGGCCTGACCCTAAAACCCCAGGGTTCACCAGGGTTCAAAAAACTCTGGGTTGTAAAGCGAGCGTGTTTTTTCCTATCCATAAATGACCCTAAATGGTTTAGGCAGTGTAAAACCACAGACTCAGCGTATCCAGAACCTTTATGCAATAACGTGTTGCTTCATACTCTGTGTCTCCTCCTATAAGCTTAACTCTCTATTTCCACATTCCCCAAAACCCTAAAATCTTATATCTTTAGAAACCCTAAAACCCTAAAACCCGACACAATCGACGGTCGTCACGCGTGTGCCACAAACGCCGCCACCACCCGCCGGCAAAAGGGACAGGCGAGCGGTCCATTCTTCAACCCACGACATAGGCGCTCCGCGCAATTAATGCACAGGGGGTGGCCACAGTCCACTGGCGCGACCGACACGCGTGCCACAAAACACACACCGCACTGCCCTGCCTCCCCGTCACTTTCACTGTCATCCATCTTCTCGCTTTCCCCCCATTTCTGCCTGCAATTCTCTGCGGTATCGCAAACGGCAGATGAAGCTACCGGCCGCGTCGTCTGACTTAAATTGCACCGCCCGGGAATCGTCATGGTTTTGCCTGCCTCTGCGTCCTTTCGGGTTGGTGTTTGGGAGGCGGAGGACTCCCCCTTGCCGTCGACGTCCAGCCTGCTGCTCGAAGCGTTCCCGCGTATAAGCCGTCCGTCGCCCTCGGTGCTTAAGCGCGACAGCCCGGGCTCCCTGGAGCCTTCTTCCTTCTCTTCTCGCCGGGCCCAAACCCGCACCCCCGCCTCGGCCTCGGCCCCGGGGGCCGCCGCCGCCGCCGCCGCCGCAGCTGCCTGCCGCTGCACATGCAGGTCGGCAAGGAGTTTGCGGCGCGTGGCGGCGGCGGCAATGACTGCCAACGGCGGCGGCCCGCTGCCGCTGCCGCCGCCGAGCACCGATGACGCCATGTCGTACCGGGACAAGTCTATGCCGAGAGCTTGCGCCAAGGGTTGTCGGGGGTGCAGCAGGGCCGCCAAGCTTGCGCTGGAGGGCCGGTTACTGATAGCCACCTTTGAGCACGGCGGGAAAAAAGCGTAGCACTAACAGAACGGCAAGTTTATTGTACCGGATAGGCGAATGTACTGCGAAACTCATCAACACACACGGGGAAGTCTCTCCCAAGTTTACTTGAAGTCTTACAATGTACAGAAGTGTTCGTGTGAACGGCATGGTTGGCACAACCTAGCTTTCGTGAAGCATCGCCATGCCATCGCCCTGACTTTCCTGTATGCTCTGCCATGGGGACCAGTTGTGCACACGCACCTACCTGCCAAGGAAGCTGCCCAGCCGCATTGGCAATTGCGCGGGGGTCCACGACACGGCGGCCGCTGCAGACCTGTCGTACCTGCGTGCGCGACACACACGCACACATCTTCACATGATGGCAGCGAAATGGTTGGAACCGCGCAGCTTTGGAACCAAGGTTGGTAAAAAAACCCAACGTCAATACACGGGAGCCCCCAAGATACACACAAGTTCCTTACGTAGTGCAGCAGGAGCTCCTGGGCTGCGGAGAGGCTGCCCACAACCGCAGCAACGTGCAGCGGAGAGGAGCGCGCCTCGCAGGCGAGCGGCAAGTCCCCGCCGCATTCCGCCGTGGTGAGCGCATTCAGATGCGGTTCGTGATGAAGCAGCAGCTCCCGGAGTGACTCCATACAGCCGTAGTAGACGCTGTAATGTAGCACCGTTAGGCCGCAGCAGGACCGCGCGTCCACGTACCTGGACCGCCGCACGAGAGCCAGGCACACACACACCCACATGGGCAAGAGGATAGCCCAGGGATTTCGGTCAGACAGCCCAAAGCCCAATGCCCACCTACCGTCGCACACATGGACCATGAGCGTCTGCCAGTCTTTGGCCGACATGCGTATGTCTCTTGCTGATTCTATTACCATGGACATGGGTTGCAGTGTTGCAGTAATCGTACAGGATTACGGTCATGAAGTCCGGTGCAGGGCTGTGGTCGTACCCTGCCGCATGAGGCAACACCCGTACAATGCCGTACAGGATCGTGGTCGTGGTGTGCCCCACAGGTCTGTTCACGCACCAACTTGTACCCTGTACCTTACGGAGCTGCGCCTGTCATGGAGTCGAGGGACACGTGCCAGCAGCGCTTGGAGGCTTGCACCCTGGCCGCAAATGGCGGCGTAGTGTACGGCAGCGAGGCCACCACAGCGGTCCGCGACCCACGGGTCTGCTCCCTGGATAATGGGAAAAGCGAAAAGAATTATTTACCCTATCGTGCCACGCATGCAATCCAGTTATCAGAGACCCACACGGCAATAATGAGAATCATATAGCCAAGCACTATACGCTAATACGCAGCCAGCAAGGAACACATCATCACTCAGCCAGCAAGTAGCATTTAGCAAGCACCAAAATCGTGGCGCGGCTTGGCCGACCCGATAGTGCCAGTGGGTTTGGCTGGTAGGTCCACTCAGCCACGGAGGCATAGGGTGCGCAAGGCTGGCTGATTCTTTCCCTTCTTTGACTTTGATCCTAGTTCCCATTGTTGAGTGTTGAGTAACTGCTGAGTGATTTAAGTTTTGAAATGCTTGCCAAACAAGTAACTCCGGTTGCTTGGCTGCTTTCCGGCCCACAGCGCGGGGTTCCCGGCCCAGTGCGACCCTTGGGGCCCCAGCTCGATAACACATACCGTACTGCCACTAAATGTTTGCGAGCCTAAAAGTTTGCGAGGTCCATAAATAATTAATAATTCAAAATGCTTGCACTAAAACTTTGCGAGGGCTGGGCTGGAGTTAAATTGTTACTCTTAAAAGTTTGCGAGCGCCTGCGGTACAAGCCGAACTTTGCGAACTTGAATGTTGAATCCAACGCACAGCAGGCAAAGCATCTGTATCCGGATAGGAGTATATAGAGTGTGGGCTGAGGAGGCGCCACTTGCTTGGGCGGCGGACCCTCGCGAGGCGGCGGGCCGACTGGGTCCTCAGCAGTCCTTGGGCGCTTTGTGAACTTGAAGTCAAATAGGGTACCCTTACGATTTTCTGCGGCTTCTAGGCTACCAGGAACCTTCAGTCCTAGGACTTTCGTCTGCCTTCTGGGGTCAAGTGGTGGTTCCTCCATCTCTGTCCATCTACGCTATTGCAAGTCTGTTAGAACAACATGGATTGGCAGCTACAACTGTTATTTCGAGCAAATCCTGCGAAAATCCGAAGTTTACAACTTTGGGAAGGGACGTCGGGAATTTTTCCGGTCGTACACAAATAACTTTGCGAGGCCCGCAAATAATTAATAATTTATTCTACAGATTGCGAGGACCCGAATAATTAATTTATTTAATTCGCAAACATTTAGTGGCAGTACGGTAGTGCTTGGTTGGGGGAAAGGAGGTCACATTGATCTGTTGAGGCCCTTTGTAGCGCCCTTCCTGGGGGAAACCACATCACGACATTAGCAGCCTTACATAAGCCAGCAGCAGCTCCACAAGTTCAGGGCAATCCACGGAGCATGCGTACATCAGAGGAGTCTGGCCTGCGGGAAGTACGGCATACATGTACGGCAAAGCGTGGCAAAGGTGTACGGTACAGGAGTAAAAGGGTCGGATGGAGGGATGAACGAGGGCCCTCAAGCTGGATTGGGAGGGCTTGCCTAAGTAGGCCATACCCGCCCAGCTATGCCGCACCTCCACAAGGACTTACCGCCCATAGTTGTGGTTCACCATGTGGGGTAAAGCTGACGTCTGACAGGGTGATGTCCAGGTAAGGCAAATGGAGCATAGCTAGGTTGGATGAGGGGGCAATGTGCCTAAGCGTCCTCCTTCTCGGCGCACGTTTCGTTATGTGTTGGTGTTGTTACAGCGGGCTATGTGTTGGTGTTGTTACAGCGGGCTATGTGTTGGTGTTGTTACAGCGGGCTATGTGTTGGTGTTGTTACAGCGGGCTATGTGTTGGTGTTGTTACAGCGGGCTATGTGTTGCTGTTGTTACAGCCAGCTATGTGTTGCTGTTGTTACAGCGGGCTATATGTCGTTGTTACAGCGGGCTATGTGTCCCCAGCTGCTCAAGGTCTACCAGCCGTTGAAACCTCAAGACCTCAAACCCAAAGTGCTCTCGATACCCCCAACCAGGGCCTTCATGATAACGAACGGCGTTGGCGACGTGTAGGGAGTCACGCGGCCCCAAACACGAAAAAATGCGCATGCGCACCGTTAGTGTTGACCATGTTGACCGCCATCCGCACACCATCGGAAACTGTGATAGGCGAGTGTTTGCCTTCGCGGCAGCAGTACGGCACCAAGGCCGTCCGTACTGTCTCCAAGCTTGCGTTGAGTAGAAATCCAATAATGGCCTGAACGACCTGGGGTTCGTAGCGGTTGACGGCCACACTCGTTTGTCAAACGGTGCCAAGCGGGGCGGGGGTCAAAACTTCAGAGGTTGCTGGGACGGTGCCTCAGGGTGACGACAGGTGCACGGCAACCATGTTGGAAGGCAACGCAGCGTGAGTGAAGGGGTGCAGTATTGTGCGAGCGAATGAGAGGGTGCGAGTGAGATTGCTTATGCGATAACAGACATCGGGCTGGGAAAGGAATGCTCGGGGTTCATGTGGGCGGGGTGCCCATGCATGTGGTGCAAGGTCGGCGTGTAGGAGATTGCGGTTTGTCCCTTAGCCTGACCTTGGTGCTCCTAGCTTTGCAGGCCTGGTGCAGGGGGGTGGCCGCTTGCGGAAAACATGGTGCACTCAGCAGCTTAGGCTGCTCGGCCAGCTTAAGAACGATGGCTCGTTCATCGCCGTAACGGATTGACTTCTTGATTTCCGCAGCGGAAGTTGCAAGGCAAGATGTCGCGCAGCCCATGTATATATATATATCTCTTTTGAAGCAATCGGGATAGACGGCCGAGCTGCTGCTGCAAAAAACAGCGAAGCAATAGCGAAGCGCATTTTGAGGCAAATATTGGTTAGCCAGAACATGTTTTCCTCTTATACACGCGGATATATGTTCATTGTTTTTTGCAGTGTCATTATTTTGGATTGGGCTCGGACTCAGACAATCCGTTTAGAAGGCTTGTGTTTAATTCGTTGAACGCGCGCACCTTGCCAACCAAGCTCCTTACGAGCGTTAACCTCCACTCAAGCTATCCACCACGATTATTTGTGGTCGGTGTGCACGCCGGTGTCTGATGTGGAGTTTGTCCAGGAGGACCTACGAGATGTTCCTAAACTGGTGCGGAGCGTAGTCAGCTGCCTACCTACGAAGCCTAGCACTGTTTAATGTTGATAAATATATTTATTTCAATCAGCTAAATTTTACTGCCTGTCCGTGCGCCGCATAGGTCGCGTGCGCGTCGGCGAAAGGGAGCATGCACAAGCCCTTAGGGAGCGCACACAACCCTTCATCGCTTTATTTAAGCAGTTATTTAATTGCACGGCTGGATAGTAGTTAGTAACGGTAACATTGCAACTGCAATTAACAATTGCGCGGCCAGCAAAACCGACCGAAAACCGGAAAAGTGGTCTTGGGTTGCCGCTATCGGCCACCTTCGAAAGCTGGACTAAAAGCCAAATTCACACTAGATCTTCACAAAATCCCTCATCTTAATGCCCCTTCATTATCAATGAGAAGGAAAACACCATTCCCTTCCGAGGGCGAACCTTAGCGAACGAGGATAAACGTAAGCTGGGTGCGCAGCCCGCAATAGAAAACTGTCAACCTGTTACCTTAATAGCGCCATAAAACGGAGCTAGGATTTTGCACCTAAATTCCTTAACCTGATTTTGAACTCATTGCCAGCCCAAGTCCATAAACGCTGCGACTCAACTCGGGGGACGCTCTTGCCCGCTGCTGAGCACGGCTAATTTGAAGTGCCGGGAACCGCAATTAATATTTACCAAGACCAGTCGGACTGTTGCCTGAGAACAACGCGACCTGCCTAACGTATCCCGGAGTCGACTATTTCCGGTTGCCCAGCTTAGGCTTGCGCAGGTAGGTAGTCGTAGAAGGGGCGCGAGGAGATATCCGTCATATGTGTGTGTGTGTTAGTTACATGGTTGGGGGTGCGTGACCCTATACCTGTAAAACTACCCATACGAGCCGAAGGCCCAAGGGCAAAAAAATACCTAAACGCCTAAAAGCCACGGAGAACAGGAAACACCGCACTATCAGCCCAGACTAGCGCCCAACGGGAATAACTGCGTTGCGGTGAGCCCACATAGGTTCCAACATCCTCGCCAGACGTGCTGGCTCCCATTTCATGGCCTCCCTCCAACATGCTCTGTTGATGATCGAATCCCTCTTCAGCACCTGTTTCTCATCAAGTATCCTGCGCCGTCATTCCTCCTCCACCGCTGCGCAGCTATCCAGGCAACACCAGCTTCCGCTCCACCCTCCTCCCCTCGCCCCCTCCCTGTAGCCCTCCAAGAGGGAACACCCTGAAGGATGCGAGCTCCTCCGGCAGCACTTCGGATTCACTCCACAACCCTCAGCTTCCCCGTCTCCACCTCGTAAATATACCCCTGGACCTGCGCGACCAGAAGGTGCGGGCAGGTGTGGGCGAGGGATGGGCGAGGGATGGGCGAGAGCGGCGAAAGGATGTGGCGGACGGCCGTCGGCGGTGACGGATGGCTGCGGCTATCAGACAGACATTATGGGCATGCCAACGGGCGGAGTGATGCCGAGTGGTTTGATGTGTGATGTGATGTGCGATGGAAGGCATCATGATGATGATGAGGAGGAGGGGGAGGAGGGGGGTTGCAAGGAAACCAGCAGCCGCACCGCACCCGTGTACCAGGCGCCACCAGCGGCGACTCCCGTACGGTACGAATGTCGTCCAGTACGGACTGATGCAGGTCAGGGAACGGCAGGAAGTCGCGATCACCCACATCCACGCCCAGCTCCTCCTTGATCTTCACCGCCAACTGTTGGGCGTCGCGGTGGAGGTGGAGAGGAGGTTTTGTCTGCGTCAAGTCGCATGCCGAGTAGTGTGAAGTGCTTGTAGAAAACATAAGCGTAGGTGTCGGGTATAACAATATTATTTCGGTGCAAGTTGCATTACGTACATTACGTTTGGAACCATTTCTCGATTTGTGCGTACATTACCGGAATTCATATATTTGCGCACACTTTCAACGTTAGTTACAACCGCCTTCAACAGCTCGGTCGTTGCAGCCCTAATCTGCACATTCCAAATCACATTCCTAGGAATGTCCCGAAGGTGTGCTTAGGAAATTTTGAAGTCACTGTCCCGATTTGGAGAAAGCAATCAATCATCGCCGTTTTCCAGACAAATTAATATTGCGTGACCGTACATATGTAAAGCATCGTAAGGCGTTGGTTGTCACTTGGGTGATTGTTTTAATTACTTTTGATTATCAAATCATTATAGAGAGTCTCACCTCCAGAAGGGGCGAGGCAGCTGGCCGATGGCACCTAAGCCGAAAGTAAACACGCGATATATATATATATATATATGCCGTACATAAACGATGACGTTTATATTATGCCGTACATGCAAAATAAACGATGCTGCCGGTTTTTTGGCTCACTACGTGTCATTAGGACCGTACCTGCTCATTGGTGAATGTCAGCATGCCGCAGTCGGTGTGGTGAATGATATGGACCTCCTGCAGTTGCGGTGCGGTGCGGCGAGAGGTGCGATGATGAGGCGGGGCCAGGGAGGGCGAAAGAGGGCCCACCGGGGGACTTAGGGGGATGGGGGACACGGGGCCATGGGTGCACGGAGGAACTGTGGGAGTTTGGTAAAAGAAGAAGGAAGGAGGATTGGTTGAGGGGAGGAGGAGGTTGGAAATTGTTGTGGAGGACGTCGGGGTGCATGCGGACGCCGTTAGGACGCGCAGAAGGCGACGTGGGAAAGAAAAGAGATGTCCTCGCCTCCTGAACAAGAAGCAACGGAAAGGTCGGTCCTTATTCAACAGCTGAAGAAAGGGGCTTCCTGACGCAAAGGAGACGTACAGGACAATTCATAAAGGGGAAATGGGATCAGGAGACCGTTCCTTAACACAGGCTGGTTCCCTGTAACGGCGGAGGTGACGATGGCCGACGGCAGCCCGAGCGAAGCAACGCGCCAGGCAGGCACTGCTGCTCACCGCTTCGGTGATTAATGCTAGAAAGTACCTTGGTGCCTAGAAGGCGCTGTGAAATGACGATGGAGCGCAGCGCGTCATCGGAGGCCCGTCCCCCCGCGTTGCGCACGCAGTGGCAGGCGCCTGCGCGTAAGGGTTGCGTGATTAAAATGTTTTAGTGCGGAGTGTCCAGCTTGGGAACAGGGCAGAGGGGGGGAGGGCCATCGGAGGTAGGAAGAAGGAGAAGGAGGGGAGAGAAAGATGCTGCTGTTGGTTTGCGTCATCGTGGACGGGCTGCAACACGGGGGCAGAGGCGACGCGGTATGGCGGAGCTTCCGGGGAGTTGTAGCACGGCAAATGGAAGTACGGCATTCTGATCGACGGAAATCTGGATCTCGTTCCGTACCGTTTTTGATTCCCAGCACCTTCTCGACGTGGAGCCGTGCGTCCATGCATGCCAACACCAATGCCTAGCCTCATTTGGAGTTCAGGGGGCGACAAAATGGCGAAGGTCGGCGCGGAGAGTTGTCTAGTAATTTGCCAAGTTACAGCACGCGTTGGGTGCATAATCTCGTCCGTAGCTGCATTTCATGTTTGATGTTATACCCACATGACGAGCGGGCGGCAAGGGCAGCTGACCGTCATTGAATTCGGCAGCGTATTGCGCGTTGTTCTCCAGGAACTCCGCTTGCAGACTTTTCCCTCCAGCTTCCAAAGATGCCATAATTAGGTCTTGATTGTATCTTTTGGTTCAGTAGGCAACGAGCAAGATGCTGAGGATAATGGCTCTGTATATCTCTAGTTTTAGGGCGAAGCTTACAGTAACTGTAGATGTGCAGCTTTCGTGGTCAGTGTGTTGTTTATCTTAGGTAATGGAATCAGCCTATTTCTAACAACGTAAAGTGCACAAGCCTTGGCCTGCAGGCCTCTGCCTCTTATGGCCAAACGACGTAACGACCGAACAACGAAACAAAACGGCATGCGAAAACGGATCCCGATAGCCAGACGAGAAGATTACATGCCGACAGCAGAGCGCGTTTCAAACATGCTTTGTCTAAACGATATGTTAAGCATGGGACGTTAAGTATAGACCGATATCGTATTTTACCCCGGATCCATAGCACAGGCGTCGGGCTCGACTCGCTGTACACCCTGCGCTGTACTTTTGTGCCCCAGCGCCTTTTCCATGTACAACGCAACTGATGCTTGTGCGTAGTAAGATGCTCCCGCACGTTCTCCCTAGCCTCGACTGTTGTATCAGCAAAATCCGCGTCACTTACCAAGGAATTGGCACAACATTTTACCACCTCGCCCATTTTCGGTAGGTGATATACGCATCGGGACGTCTTTCCTAACTTTAATGAACGCCCTCGTACCAGTCGTGGGCGATCCATTACGGCAGAGGCCGGCTCAGTGGCAAAAGTGGCATGAAAGGCATGAATTCAGAAAAGACCAGAGGAATAACCGATCATGGGAAAGAGTTATGGAGGCATGGCGAAGAGCTTTTTAGCGGATGGAGACACACACACACACACACTCCTACACACAACTGTGCAAAATAAAGCTCACAGACGGCTCTTACCAAACCAGTAGAACAAAAGCAACCGCACCTGCGACCCGCACACAGGCCTTCTTTATCTAGTTCGCAATCCCCCAGCCCAGTACAGATGGGACCCCAGGTCCGGGTACAGTGGCAAAGCACGCGGCTCCAGGACGCACCACCGCCCCACCCCAGCGAGCCAATGCGTCGTTGCGTTCCTTAATAATAATACCCGAGTCCGTGTACCGAGTTCGATTTCGGGTGCAACCGCCACCATGCATCCGGCCGGACGAACGCCAGGCGTGCCACGTGGGCCTTTTGGCTGTGATGGCACAGTCCCCTCCCAACATCGTGCAGGCTTTTGCCACGCTGCGGCATTCACTCTCACCCAAGCAGCAACAGCGGCAGCGGCAGCAGCAGCAGCTGAGTGAACTGACTGCTGGTCGGCAGCTAATGTCTACTGGCCCTTTAATGTCCGCACCCGCGACGTAGCGACACGTCGCCCACCATCGCCACCTAGTCACACAGTCAGTATGTTCCTCGTGTTTTGTCCTGGACCCAGGGAAGGGGGGGGTTGTATTTGTGCATCGTTGTCAACTGGTCAGGAAGCAATCCAAGGGCCTTGTGATACACGACACTAGAGCCGTCCTTGAAAGGTTGGGCCCCCATAACGGCGGCGCTGTGTTTCTGTGGTGGAACAACCGAGAGCGGATCACCGTCCGAGGCAGGACCCCACATGACACACACACGTACCGACGGACGCCGGCACACAAACACACAAACACTTCCCCCGCTTTTCACCCCGGGGGTTACGTCTTACGTCTCTCCCCAGCTTTTTCTCACGTCACGTACCCAAGCCAACCTCAAAGCCTACTGCTAGGCCGCGTAGCCAAATGCGACGACACACGCATAAACTGAAACAAGGAAACGCGGTGACCATTCCTCTCTCTGCCTTTTACCACCAGAACATACGACTTCTATAACACCAGCCCATCACCTCTGCTTCGTCCTCGTGCCAAACACAGCAAAGAACGGGACGAGACCACTCGACGCAAACGAAGCAAGTAAAACCACAACCGACCCATATCCTTTGCAGCTCTTAAACAGATACAAAATGCTTCTTTTGTGCGAGGCGCGGCCAAGGAGTACAGGAGTGCCTACTTCGCCACCATCACTACAGGATACACAGGCACACTGTTTTCCACCTACACATGCACATACACACCCGCTTCACGGCGCGCTTGCCCAAAAACCACCATGTACCCCGGCTCTCTTGTGCCTCTTGCGGCCATAGCTCAAGGGCGCGCAGCATAAATATATGGTCCGGATCAACTCACTCCGTGCTTCACTCAGCCAGCAGTCCTCTCCTTCTTTCGTCACCACGCGCCTCTCCCTCATATTATGACCTCCCAGGTTCCAGTCCTGCCCCTCCCATGCGCTTTTACAACCCTTTGGGGTTTGTTGCGGCCCCGCTGACAACGCCGCCATCACACACCATATGCCACAGGTTGAGGATGCGTAGACCACTGCCGCCACGCTCTTGCATTTCACAAGCCCGCACACACACATATCAAGAGCATAACCAGGCGCGCACACACGCGCAGCACACACCTGGAGAGGTAACCCCGGCAGGGAAGCACACTTATTCCCAGCAACACCGAAAAGCCGCGCGGCAATCACCTGTGCTGGCGCGGCCAGGCATGCTGCATGCGGCCAGCCCCTCCCCCCAGCCGCAGCTCACGCAACACAGTCACCCATGCAAGTCTGCATGCCCCCGACCCAAGTATACAATTACCTATGCCCCGCTGTCTGTAGCGGCTGTTGTGGCCCTCCCCGCACATGCCCCGCGCCGTTGCCATTGCCGTTGTGCTGCGGCGCCACTGCCGCTGCCGCCACCTGCGCCGGTGCCGGCACCAATACCTGTCGCACACTCATGCCGCAACTGCGCAGCGCTGTGGCCATACCCGCAGCCGCCGTGCTGCCGCTGCCCTCCTCAGCCGCACCTGCGAGCGCCACCGATCGCACGCCCAACGCCTGTAGCATCTGCGCCGCGATTGCGGCATCCTTCAGGTCCCAGGAGTAAAGTCGTCTGCCGCCACCGCCACCGCTGCTGCTGTTGCCGCCAAGCGCCGCCAGCTCCGTTGAGGGAGCCAGGCCGCGCGCTGTTTGGCCGCGGAGGTACAAAACCACGCCCGCGCCCGCCTGCGCGACGGTCCCCAGCGCCGCGTTCAAGGAGTGTGTGCCGCTGCCATTGAAACCACTGGGGCCTGGCGGCTCGGGGGCATTGAGTAGGTCGCCGACAGTTCGCTCTTGGTGGATGTAAACTAGCACATCGGAGACCGAATCCGCCACGGCGCCGTGTACGAAAGCCAGGTGCTCGGTGCCATCTACGGTGGACCGAAAGCAGTGAGCCGTGAAGGCTGCGCCGCCGCTTGCGACGCCGGCGATGACGGGGCTGGGCTCGCAAGCTGGAGCCACCAGCGCATCCTGGCGCAGGCGGTAGCGGATGAGGTCGGCTATCGTGACACAGCGTAGGCCGTGACGACGGGCAAAATCCAGGAGCTGCGGTGTGCGGGCCATACTTCCGTCCTCCTTGTTGACCAACTCACAAAGCACGCCGGCAGGGAAAGAGCCAGAAAGGCGGGCCAGGTCTACTGCAGCTTCCGTGTGACCAGGGCGGACCAGGACGCCGCCTGGGCGATACCGCAGAGGGAATATGTGACCGGGACGTCGGAAATCGCCGGCCGTGGCATTGGGGTCGGCCAGTCGGCGGATGGTCTTGGCGCGGTCGGCGGCGGAAATGCCCGTGGTGATGCCGTCCCGCAGGTCAACGGTGATAGTAAAGGCGGTGTACATCGACTCTTCATTCTCTGCGCTGCTGACCATTAGCGGGAGACGGAGGCGGTCCAGGTCGCGGCCCTCCATGGAGATGCAAACCACGCCGCTTGTGTGTTCGACCAAGAATGCCATCGTCTCCGTCGTGACCTTATCCGCGTTCATGATTAGGTCGCCCTCGTTCTCGCGATCCTCATCGTCCAACACAACGATTAGCTTTCCGGCTGCAAGGTCTTCAAGCGCTGAAGCAATGGAATCGAAGCCTGGCAACGGTTGCTCCAGGTCGAGGTCGATTGGTAGCCGCAGCGAACTGTTTGCCTGGCCAAAAGCCAGCACCATGCCTCGGCTAGCTGGCATGTTCAATTGGTCCTTATGGCGAGAAACCGCACCGGCCACTAGGACGCCTGGACTCCTCGTTGATGGCACGAGGCGCGCCGGCGCAACGACCGGCCGAGTTGCTGCTGTTTGGGCAGCAGCAAACTGCCCCACAGGCATGCGCGCAAGCATCCTGCTTACTACTTACGAATTACACCAGGCCCAGCTCAAAAGCTATAAAGGTCGGCCGCCACGTCTGATAGCGTCGTTATGAAAAAAGTGGCAGAAATAAAATTGAAATTGTGCAAGAGGGATTACAGTAATGGCGTCTTAGATTTTAGTGGTCAGCTGGTTGGTTACGACGCATGGGAAAAAGTTTACAGGCACGACCCATGTCGCAACGTTTCCCCTGACACTAAATAACTACAAAGGTTTAGGACATATAATTGTTCAGCCAATTTTCCTCAGGTTGTTCCTCCGCCTCAAGTTGACTTATCTCTAATGTGCTGACAGGGAAGTCACCAAGCCAAAACAGTTATCCATAATTTGTCAACTCGAGTTATTACAGATAGGAATCTTATCTTTAGAATTCCTTGCGCGGCTGCATGGTGACAAGCAGACCTACCGGGTTCACCGTCCCTGCCCACGAAAATTTGGTACTGATCACGTGTCTAACATGGGTCAAGGCGCCAGGCTGACACTCCGAACTTAACCCGTCCGTTTCGCGTCGGCAATTCCCAACGTAATGAGTCGACGGAGTCACCTCTCCCATCACTTACCACACTTATCCAATAGGATATCCCATACTCCCTTCAAAGCCAAACCTCAAATCTGCACGCAAACACCCATATGCCCGAGTACATCGCACTTACACGCATTCGGCCCCCACGCACAGCTTAACACTCCACGCGCTCGTTCCAAAGCTTATACGCTCACCTAGCCCCAACCTCCCGGTCCTCCTAGTACCCTACTCACCAGATGTCCCTTTCCAAAAATGTATTCCGCCACTCCCACTTTAGCAACCAACAAAGTTCCTAAAGCGACTTGACAAAATTCTCAACGATCTTCATGCCGCTCTGCGTGATGATGCTTTCCGGATGGAACTGCACCCCCTGGATGTGAGGGTACCTCTTATGCCGTACGCCCATGATAGTGCCGTCCTCCGTCCAGGCTGTAATCTCCAGATCTTCAGGAATGGTGTCCCGCTTGATCACCAGGCTGTGGTAGCGGCACGCCTGGAAAGGACTGTCCACACATGGTTGCGGCCGTACACATGGCAGCCACAAGGCAGCCATCGACAGCGAGGGCGTGGACGGGGACAATGAAGAAAAAAGAAACTCCTTTAAGTTCAGGATAAACGCATCGGCACATTAGGATCAAAAGACTGTCAAAGCATCCAGGTACCCGTGCGTCAACAGTAAAGGCAGGACAGGAGAAACAACAATAACGGCCGCCAGGGTTAAGCTCAAGCGAGGGCTAGGTCTTGGCAAACTGGGCCTAGCCGGGGGCAAACAACACGGAATATTACTGAGGAAAGGACAGCAGCGTGTGCCACAACATAGTGCGCGAGTGCCACAACAGCAGCGGGAACGGTGCTCTCACGAACGAGCGAGCGAGCGAGCGAGCACAGCGACCCACTTGGGAAGACCCTCCATGATGCCAACGTTCGTGTGGAACACGGGGGACGTCTTGCCGTGCATCACACCGCAGGGCGCACGCACCACATCGCCTGCGCAAGAGAGATGCGGCCGAGGGTTTTAGCAATCGTTGCTGTTCCTCAGCCACGTGCCACGGTGTTGAACAGAAATTGGCAAACATGGCAAAAATGATGGGACCGCGAGCATCAACCCAGATCGTTACAAACAGGTGGTGCTGCTGTTGCTGCATACTACCAACCATGTGCTGTACAGCGCGGCCCGAAGGCCCGCCCATAACGGCTCCCTGCATGGTTGCAGCCACGCCCAGAGAAAAAGCGGCCACCAATGCCGTACTGCAGACGTACCTCCGAAAGCCTCGCCGATGCACTGATGTCCCATGCACACCCCGAACAAGGGAAATAGTGGACCCAGTTCGCGGACAGCTTGAAGGGATATGCCCGAATCCACAGGCCTCCCTGCGGTTTGCAGCAAGTATACAACATAGAACATGGATCAAGCCAGTCGCCCTTGTAGGCGATGAAAGCCCAGCCATTCACTGCCAGAGATGCAGCTGGGGCTAGAGCCATCCAGAGGGAGTGAAACAGCTTACAGTTTCTTTGGGGCTGCAGGGAAAAAGCAGTGCTCTGTCAAACCCCACCTGGCCCCGGTGAGACGAGGATGCCGCGAGGGTTCATGGCCTTGATCTCCTCGACCGTCTTTTCATCATTCTTATATACGACATACTCGCACCCCAAATCACCCAGGTACTGCATACGGTCATAAGGAGCACCGTCAGCTTGGTGGCCCCGCATCGCACGCACGGCGGCTCAGCAGACCTGGCAGAGATTGTACGTGAAGCTGTCATAGTTGTCCACCACCACGACTGGGCCTTTTGCAGCTGCTGATGCCTGCACCGGTCGACAGCATGGGGTTCTCCGCAGAAGAGGTCTTGCCACACGGCTGCTACCTGTGATGGGAAAGGACCCTTCCTGAGTCGAAACAGGACTCGAGTAAGACATGCCTTGAAATTTTAAAATCGTACCAGGGCAAGCAAAAGGAGCTCGGGCTTCCCGGGGAGCTAAGCTGCGCATTCTTCCAAATGCACGTGAGCTTTGCCAACCCTAAGTCACAATCTCTAGACACAGCCAGACCTCACTGATTCCAATTCGCCTCATCAGGAGCCTTCCCGTTAAGAAATTTTTTTGCATATTGCCATTTCCGTACGAAAGGCCTCTCACTTACGCAAATCAGTTTAACTATTGCACACGCGTTTCACCATAAGGTAGACCGACATACCAATTGATTACTATGCTTTCCGTTAGAGCCTGTGGTCTTTAAACTTGCATCTATCTTTATAAGATTGAGGCATTCGTCCTAGATGTCCATTCGCTTAGGATTCAGGCTTTTCTATTGCCGGGGCAGGCTTGTGGCGCCGGTAAGGACAGGGCCGCACCGGCGCAAACCTCCGAGGCCCGTGTGTGTTCTCTCAGGGCAGGTGGGTTTTCCGACACCTCATACAAAACTCCCATAGCTAGAGTTGGGTCAGCATTACACGACAAGGGAAAGCAAACTGCAGGCAGCAGCGTCGAGGCAAGCAGGAGACAAACAGCCTGCCTCAGCATGGCCAAATATCACACCAGTGGTGAAGGAGAAAGTTGCTTTGTTTGAAGGATTAGAAGGCGATGATTTTCGGTAAGCAAGGCGAGGGCTCGGTAATGTTGCTTGTCACTACGCGCACAGTTTCGGCATTGCGGTTATATTTCCTAAAAGTGCAGCACTGGAGCTAGTAAAGGGATGTGACCGTCTAACTCGGCTTAGGCTCCGGGAAGCCGCTTGCACGCGTGCCCTTGGACGTGGCTGTGTGGACCTTGTCGTGCGAAGAACTCCGGGCCGATTGTTGGCAAATGTGGAACTTCCGTTGCTGTCGAACGCATATTATTTTTTCCATCGGCTTGGTCCTTGCTCCATGTGTGCTCGTCTGTCACTCTTTGTACCCTGTCTGCTTACCCATCGGAAGTCCAGCCTTAAGCCATGCTTTTGTCTCTGTCCTTGAAAGAGGTCATCGGCCACCTCTTTACCACAAACGCACGCCAATGATGCGGTGTGCTGGCCTCATCTCACCGCTGCTGCTGCCGGGCCCCCTGCCGTCTGCTGCTACTGATTGTTGCTTTTTCGGGTGCTGCTGCTGACGATGCTGCTGCTGCTGCTGCTACTGCCATGGAGCGCAGCCATCCGCTTGACCAGCAAAACACAAGCATGCTGCGCTCGGTTCCGGGATTGGAGATGGTGGCGAAGAACTTCATGGGTATGTGTTATCGCCGTACGTAGAGTAAATTTTTGAATTTTGAAAAAAATAAACGGATGCCAGAAGGCTGGCACAGGATGCAGCGATCCTCATGGATGAAGGCTCCTAGGCCGTCGAAATGGCGGGAAAGTGCTACGCAAGGCGCGGGGCTGGGGTACAGGCACGAGCGAGGGCTTGGAGGGCTTCTGGCAGTGGGCTGCGTTCTGTTTCGCCCGAAAGGCGGTGGGCGGTGGGGCACAGGGCGGCGAGGCTGTGTGGTACATGACACCGCCGTGTGCCGTTGCACCATGGACCCCGGGTGCAGTGCGCCGGTACGGTGGGCGGCTCTGGCAGTCTGCTTGGTTTCACACGGCAAGAGGTGGCCAACGAAGTCGCGTTTTAGGCTACAGCTCCATAGCGCTGCTACTGCTACTGCTACTGCTTCGTGGGCTGCTTAGGCGCCTTAAGGCCGCTCAGGCTAAGGCTCAGGCTCAGGTTAAGGATGTTTAAGCCTCTCCTTTCGCCGCCGCTGCTGCTACTGTTGCCGCTGCTGATGTTGATATTGGTGTTGTTTTTTTGTGTGTGCGTATGTGTGTTTCCTTGTTGCCTGTTCAGGCCCGGTGGCGGAGCAGGTGCTGCTCTTGGAGAACATCTCCACGTCCATTAAGATAGGGCCGGATCAGCTGCCGTCCGTACATAAGCTCCTGGTGGAAGCGGTGAGAGATGAGGCACACTGGCGGAGATGGGTTAGCGGCCGGAAAAGAGGGGAATTTATAGCAAGAGGGGCAAAGAGGGCCCAATGCCGGGGCTGGGATTTGGGGGCCGCTAAAACGACGAGAGGGAAGGGTCAGGGCTGTGGGGGGAGGGAGGGGGGAAAGGTCATATCCAGAAATCAAAGAGGAAATCTTAACTGCAGAAGGCGCTGTGGGGGGAAGACGAACCACAAACGAGTGAAGCCGCTGCCAAGGAGGGGGGAAGACGAACCACAAACGAGTGAAGCTGCTGCCAGGGCAAGAGTGGGGGGCAGGGGTTTGGGAAGAGCCCGACTGGGTCGGTGTCAGTGTTAGTGTCATTGCCGGGGGAATCCCACACACCCAGGCCCATGACGTCATCCGGGGTGAGGGAAGGATGGGGGGAGGGGTCACGGCGGGGGGGAACCCTTCCCTAGGGTTTCTTAGCGATCACACTGGTTGTCGTTATCCCCTTGGGGAGGGGGATAACGGGGGGGGGGAGGAAGTGGCGGCTGGCACTGACACGGCTGACACGGGCGCTGCACCGTGATCACGGAGACCCTTGTCTTGGGTCCTGGCGCTGGGGCGTGACGCCGGAGCGGCCCGTACGCACACATACAGACATAAATACGCACGCACAGTGCGACTTGTTAAAAACGTCGCACTGTGCGTGCGTAGTTATGCCTGCTTAGGTTAGTCTTAGACTTGTTATTGATATCACACACGCTATCCTCATTTTCCGCGCTCCATATCGGCGCATGGCATGTAGGCGCGGATCCTGCAAATGGAGGCGCCGGAGCTGTACGTACGGCAGGTACGGGTGTTGGTACGGAAACACGATTGGTGCGGCACGGGGTTGTTTGCAAGGGGTCAGTGGTACCGCGGCGAGCGTTGTTGGCCTGATGCTGCTGTCCGCACCTGCTACGCTGCTGTCGCTGTGGTGTGGTGTGGTGTGGGTTGCTACAGCGGCGGGTGCTACTGCTATTGCCCCTGCAAGTGTGTGTGTGTGTAAGTGTATGCTAGTGTGTGCTCTCCATCGGCATATCGGTGCCATCTGCGCGATTCGTTAGGCCACCTGTTTAGATGACTACCGTCGTCGGCTGTTCGCCCGCGTGCTCGCATGTTTTGACTTACTGCATCTCGCTCCGGCTGTAATAATATCTCCCCATTTTCCCTTTTTTGCGTGTTGTGTACAGCACCCTGTTCCCAACGCCTACACTCTGGCTATTGCGGGCCACAAACCCTTCATTGTCATCCACACGGCGTTGCTGGAGCTGCTCACGCCGTACGAGCTGCAGGTACGGCGACACGGTGTGTATTTTTTCCCTCGCCCGTGTAATAAATTACTCCACCCTTCTCTTTGACTCTTGCGTGAAATCCCTCCCCTGCACTTCTTAAAAAATATCACATAATTCCTCCCCTTGTCCCTCCCCTTCCCCCATATAAACCACCTCCTCCTTCTCCTCCTCGTCCACCTCTTCTCCTCCTCCTCCTCCTCGTCCACCTCTTCCTCCTCCTCCTCCTCGTCCACCTCTTCCTCCTCCTCTTCCTCCTCCTCCTCCTATTACTACTACTACTACTACTACTGCTACCAGGCGGTCCTGGCTCACGAGCTCGGTCACCTGAAGTGTGACCACGGTTTGTGGTTGACGGTGGCCAACGTGCTGGCTAGCGGCACTGTATCCGTCCTTCCCGTGGTGACGGGAATGGTGCAGGAGGCGCTCATGCGGTGGCTGCGGGCGGCGGAGCTCACATGCGACCGGGCGGCGCTGCTGGTGGCACAAGTGTGTGGGGGGGGGTGGGACGGGGGTGGGATGGGATGGGATGGGATGGAGGACAGGATGGGAGGTGTGGCGTAATGGGGGAGCCCCCGTGGGAGGGGCCGTATGGGGAAAGCAAGGGGTTTTCTTGTGCTTTGGGTGTCGGGAGTTTTAAACTATTTTGCTTGTTGTGTACCATCATCACCACCACCATCATCATCATCATCATCATCATCACCACCACCATTTTCATCTCAACACTACCACTGTCATCACACAGTCCCCCTCCCCCTCCCTTCACCTTCCCCACCCTGGTCAGTCCTGGTTCTTGTACACTCTTTCCTTGGCAGCAACTTCACTCGTTCACGTGGTTCGTCTTTCCCCACCCTCCTCCCCACCCCGGGATGCTCTCAGGACTCAAAGGTGGTCATCTCCGCACTCATGAAGCTGGCCGGGGGGTCTCCCTCCTTCGCGTCGGAGCTTAACGTGGACGCGTAAGTGCCGCCAAGGACTGCTGATTGCGCATTGGGAGCCAGGGGAGAAGGAAGATAAATGGGCGGAAAAACGGCGGCAACGTGCACGAGGGGCCGCACTAGTCCTCGCACTAGCTGTCAGTAGCCTTCTCTCCTCCTCGTCCTCCTTCCGCTCCTTCCCTCTCTTTCCCCCTCTCTCCCACACACACGTACCCTCCTTTTTCCCAGTTGGTACGTTGCGACTGTGTTCGCACGTTCCTTCACCCTCTCTGTCAGCCATTGTTTTCTTTCGTCGCTGCTTCTCTCTTCCCCCTCCTAACCCCCTTTCCACTCGCCCGTATGTAAACGTTTCGCCGCTGAACGTGTGTTCTGCCTCCGCCCCTCTTTTTATCCTTCCGTGTGGCAGGTTCCTGCAGCAGAGCCGCTCCTACGAAGAAGCCACCAGCAGCCTGCTGGGCTGGTACCTCCGCAATGCGCAGACGGCAGCGCTGAGCCACCCGCTGCCGGTGATGCGAGCTCGGGAGATCGACAAGTGAGTAGCGGGGTATGGAGAGGTAGAGGGGTAAAGAGGGGTAGAGAGGGGTAGAGAGGTAGGGGAGGAAAACCTACCTGTGTCGAAGGTAAAGTACGGTAAGCAGCTAGGAGCCAGATATGCCCAAAAGGGAGATTCCAGGGAGCGACGTTCGCCCTGTCGTGATGGCGTCCAATCCGATAAGAAAGCACTCGGGGGTTGTCGGAGTTCCGGAATCATGTAAACACCTTCCCCCGCCACCACCCAAGGCAGTTAGTAGTGACCACCGTCATTTGGTTGTGGTATGTGTGCGTCTATCTGTCTGTCTGTCTACGTCGTCTTCGTCGGGAACGTGATGCCGGGTGCCGAAAGCTGTTGCGATCATCCATGTTTTGGGGTGGCATGTGGGGATGCAGGCAGTGCCGTTACGGAACAGTGCCGCTCTACATGACGAGGAAGTTGGGCGAGGGGGCGGTCGGTAGGTGTGTCGGTGAGATTCCCTAACCCTAAAGGGGAACCGAAGGGGACAACCCTATTGCAAAAGTGCTAAGATGTGAGTATGTGCAAATGTTATGGCTGCGGCATTGAGCGACCCTTGGGATGTTATTTTGGCGGCGTACCGCAGGTGGAGTCAGAGCACGCAGTACAAGGGGCTCCTTTCCAAGAACCGCTCCCATAGAGTCCAGTTCATGACAGCACCATCACCGCCTGGCCAGCAACAGCAGCAGCTTCAACAGCAGCAGCAACAGCAGCAGCAGCAGCTACAACAAATAGCATCCCAGGGGGCACAGCTTGGCGGCTACTCGGGTGCTGGCAGCGGCGGCGGGGTCGGCCAGGCGTCCCAAGGTTATAACAACAGCAGCAGCGGCGGCGGCGGCGGTGCCTTTGGTGGCGCGGCATCGGGCGTGCCTGGGCAACTCTACGAGTTGTTGCGGCCGCCTGCACCCCTCAACGCCACAACTTCCTCACCCGGCGGTGCTGGGTTTCGGCAGCTTGCTGCCGATGGAGGAAAAAACCAGAACAGTGCTTTAGGACACGGCAGTGGCAGTAGCAGTAGCAGTAGCGGCAGTTCCGCTAGCGGCAGTACTGGTATGGCTCACGGCAGCAGTGGTGGCGGTGCCGGGGGAAGTGGGGGGGGAGGTGTTGGCGGTGTTGGTTTTGATGTCGGTGGTATACTTGGCGGCCTTTGGGCTGGCTGGGGAGGTGGTCCTAAGGCTGGGCGGTAGCTCGAGCATCTGCGATGATGCTGAGGACATCATCAGGAAGCAACCCTTCACTAGGCGACCGGATTCTACATCGGCGGAAGCATCCCTCCCTCCTCCCTCCCACCTACTATACACCTACGCCCCTCCATGGTGTGGGTGTGGGTAGTAGGATGGTGTGGGTGTGGGTGTGTTCTACACTCCCTGCCCTCTTTTGCGTGTGAAGGGGGGGGAGGGATGCTGTTTGCTTCGCAAGCCGCGGTCCCGCAGTCCCGTGGGTCCATTTGCAAAGCCCGCCACCCCAATCCCCTCCCCCCCTATTGCGTACTCGTCTTTGGACGTGTACGGTGTTTGGCGATTGTTTCGTTGGGTTCGCTGGCCCCCTCCCCATGTATTGCCGCGCATGCCATAAGCCCCGCATAGTCCCTAGCTAGCTGACCCTGACCCCGAATCTGTTTTCCAAACATTGCATCACGGCTTTTGGGTTGGGCCTTTCTCGTCATGCAGGATGTCATGCAGGGGGCCATGCAGGGGGCCATACATGGCCGCCGATCCCCATGCGGTGGCGTCTCGCTCCATTTCCTCCTCTCATTTCCCCCGTCTGAATGTGTTGTTGTACCAGGTGGGAATAACATGCCACTGAGGTGGAATTAAATTTGAAACAAATTTGCAGTCTGGGTTGTGGGGAAAGGAGGTGTGTGGAGGTGTATGTATGCATGTATGTATGTATGTATGTATGTATGTATGTATGTATGTATGTATGTATGTATGTATGTATGTATGTATGTATGTATGTATGTATGTGTGTCTCTGGCTTTTGAGGCTCATGGTATTTCGTTAGTGAGCTGGGCCAGCACAAATCTCGGGAGTGGCAGAGGTGAATGACACAATGCACTGTTTGCGCGGGTGGAGATGGGGTTGGGGACGCAGAAGGGGGTCCTTGAAGAGCTGCGGAGGAGGAAATGGGCTCCGCCTACCGTGTACCGGCAAACATCGGATGATCGGAGGAGCTTTAGGGGCTCCGGCTCTATGGTGGGTCGGTGTCGGATTAGCGTGGCAACAAGACGGCTTTGACCGTCGCTGCACGCGTTCCGCCATGTTGCGCTGTGTATCATAAAACGTGAATTGGAGCGAGAACTTCAACTTGGACTGAACGTTGCTGGGTTCGAGGCTATGGCTGGCGATGGTGGTGGCGATGGTGGTGGTGGTTAAGGAATGGCCTCTTGGCCGAGGAGGGCTCCTAATGTGTCGCGCGCCTGAGCGGTTTTTGGTGCTGAATGTATGCGTGTGGATGTTTGCGTGTGCACTGCGCAGATTCCCGGTGCTGGTGTTTCTGGATCTGCATCGCTTTATCCTCTGTGCTGTGCTGCGCGGCAGTTGCATGGAATGTAGGCATGTAGGTAGGTGGACAGGTGTATGGTTATCCTATTAGCCCTAGTGACGTGGAGGCAGCAGCACCTTGAGCATTGCACTGCAGGGAGGGAAGCAATGGCATATCGGAGAAGTGCAAAGATGTGCGAAGATGTGTGTTGTTGTAGTGGTGCTTGCGGAGATGGCGAAGACCATCGGGAGCGAGCAGCTTCCTTGCTTGCAGGAGCGGCAGATTTGTATGTAACGGTAGCGTTTCTTGCGCGACAGTGGGAGAGATGTGAGCGGTTTCGTACGTCAGCTTCCTGCGGTGACACTTATGCGCGCCGCGTTTAAAGGTCTGCGTTCTGCTATTGAGACATCACTCCCTTTAATCGGCTTAATAGCTGTGCTTTACATGTGGAAACATGGAAACGATTTATGCTGCCGACTGATGATGTTTGTATGTTTTCATATGAACAGAGTTGCGGATGTGTGCTTGCGTTTCATTTGCGTGTAGCTGTGGCGTGTGCCGCCAACGACTGGTGGTTTGATGGATGTTTGGATTGCTTGGCGCTGCGGTACGCGGCTTGTGGACTGCAGAGTCTGGCAATTCCATTAATTGGCCATCAGCTCTTGGTCATCTTTTACCTGGGTTAAAATTCCCATGTTAGTGGGAAGTATCAAATATCATTCGCCTTCACAGCGCGAGCTGGCCATGTATCCTATGTTTTGAACTTATTTTTGGCAAGGGTAGCCACCACATCGTTGAAGCGGTGTCGTCGACATCCAAGATTGAACTCCAGACATGTTCCGCTTAGTTTACGTAGGCCATCGCAGCTTTGCTGCATGGTCCGGAGTGCGCAACTGTGGTCATGCTCCTACCATCTCCGGTGCTGCCATCTGTCGCATTTGGCATGCGCAATGTAGGCTAATTGGATTATCGAAGGAATAACGTCATGTCTTATTGCTTGTTGGTTGCTTCTTGGCGCGTGAGCGATGAGTTGCGGTGCAGCCGGGGGCGGGCAGGTTGCCAGTATTTTATCGCAGGTGTGCAGGTGGCAAAGAATTGCTGCACGCCAACCGGCATGCTTGCACGACTTGGGATGCACCTGCCATGAAATTGAGATACGCGTGGGGGGTTTGCAGAATCCAGGTACCAGGATTTCCGCCCACGTTAGTAAGCGCAAACTCAGTTAACTGGATCCTGAGCTTCGGAGCTGCGTGCCCGACTCGATGGCCAGTCAAATCAAATCCCCAGACATCTCAATAAACATCTGTCGATTCTCCAGCACATATTTATTTCACGGGCAGCTCGGCGCCAGAGCGTGAAGCGGCATGGAGAGGAGAGTAGTCAAGATAAACACCGAAAGCAATACAAAAGACGATTCCACGACCCAGGGCCTTCCTGTAGATGTAACTCTGGCAAATCTTCTCGATCATGTCGCAACAGAACTCAACTCGGGCGATGATGCATTCGTTTTCACCGGCGGTGTCATCGGGCTATGCTTTCTTGTGGGTCTGGTTGTATACTCTCCAACTCTTTGTCCACTTGCCTACCTCGGCTTTGCGGCGATGTTTTTGCCTTATCGCGTAGTAAACTTTTTGCCTCGGAAATGGGTCTTCTTCCTGGTTGACTTCTGCTATGTAAGTGGATGACTTTATGGCGACCATAAAGAGGTTTTAGCGTCTATATATTATGAAGAAATTGGTGCTGTTTTCGGCTTGGGACATCTTCGAGCAACCACGTGGGGGTGGCTACGTACGTAATGTGTTTGTCCTGGTTGCCCAAGTCCGCAGCACGGCTTGCCTGCAGCAGGCATCGTATGTTTTGCAGGTTTCTCCCCACGCTTGGCTACCTTCATGACCCGCCCGACCCCCTCTCCGCCCTCTTACCAGTTCTGCAACTTGGCCTGTTGCGCCTTCCTGCTCTTCCGCCCGGAGGACCCACGGCTGGAGGCGGCCGTCTACGTGTTATGTGAGGGTCCGCTCGCCGCCGCCCTCATTGCCTGGCAGTGCGCCTGGCTAATGGTTTCACCCGACCATGTCATAAGGTGCAGCTGAACCGCATACCACTGGTCAATATCCCAGCACACGGCTTGTATCGCACGATTTATGTCTAGTCACAGGGCTGCGGTGATGCTCATGCACTGCGTCTCGCAATTTGTGTGAGCCCTGCTTAGAGCGAGGATGCTTGTTGCTCCCTTGCCAAATCCTAGCCCTGGGATGCGGGCTTCTAGCCCAGACCAGCAGCGACCTCACCGAATTTCCCCGTGTTCCCATGATCAAAGTCTCGCCCAGGATCTTTAAACATCGCCTTACAACACCACCACAAACCTACTGATTGCCCGCTCGACCTTTGTTTCATCTATCCAAGCCCGATACCCTACCTTGGCCTGCATTGGACCTCCACAACAGTGTCCTCATTCATTTGATGCCTGGATTGGCGATGTACTGCCACCGCTACCTCGCGTTTTCGCGCCAGCCGTTGCTGCTAGCTGGTCGTCTCGCTCGTGCGCTACTCGGGAAGGCTGACACTTGGGCCATCGCAGCCTCCGGCGCAGCGGAAGTCGCTGGAATCGGCTTTAATGACAGCAGCAGCAACAACAACAACAACAACAACAACACTCAATTAGCTTTAAGAAGCGTGATCGCACTCCAGGGCCGCAGGTTAGCTGCGCTTGCGGCCATTTCTCAGGGCCAGATACCCTGCCCCAAGTGGGCTACTGCATCGTCGCCGTCGTCGCCGGCAGTAGTGCACGAGGCGGCGGGCGGGCTGAACGAGGAGCCCGTGGCGCTCAGCGTCAATGCTGTAAAAGCCGCCGTTACGCATGAACTGGCTGGTTCATGCTTTGCAGGTTGGTATACAGGATCTCGCCCAGCTGGCGGTGCGGTATGCTACGCAACAACCTCGGCGGAGTCCCCGTTGCCCTGCCCAACCCCTGCCTGGCTCTGGTTGGGAGCCGCACCGCTGGCGTTCTACCTTGCATGGCAGGTCCGGCGACATCCAACAAGGACACTGCCCTAGATCAAAACTGCCACTGCCATCGGCTTTGTCATACGTGTTCATTTGAAATTCTACTGTATGGACAGAGACAGGCCGCCAAACACTTTGCAGCCAAAATCAGGCTGCGACCGCTACCCTTGCCTAAATATATATCAAACCGTGCGGAACGGCGAGCTGGGATATGCCTGTGAAAGTTGTGCGTTGAGCCGGCCTTGGTGTCCTTAGTCTCTGTGCCTATTGCGGCGAGCGATCACGCAAATGGCATGTGCCTGTAAGAAGGGAGCCCAGCATTTTGCGCGTGTATATGTGTGGATCTTCCTGTGGCCAGGCAGCCCTGCATCGCCTCCCTTTTTTCCCGCTAACCTTACCGCTCTATCTGACCCAATTGCCTGCTTTCGTCCCCATACGTCTCCTGCCTACTGTGGAACTTAACATCGCCCCTTTGTCCCCTGCTCCCTGTGCGCCCTCGCTCCAACAACCCGCCGCCTGACTGCCGTCTTCAACGTCCCCAACAAAGCTGATCTACTTCCTGTTGGTTCAGGTGAGGTTGCTTGGCGGCTGGCGGCCTGACGTGTGATTCGAACGAAGAGCGCAGCAGCAGCAGCAGCAGATGGCACGTACGCGCGTGCTTTCTGCGCATCTGTGCTACTGCTACTACAAACAGTGTGCGCCTCGCTATGGGTAGCGTGTGTCGTGTTGCTATGCATGTGGCGCTGGCAGCGGTAACATGCGTGATGCCCGCTCAACAAGGCCCACTCATTACCGCGTGCAACATTCTGCACGCCAAGAAGCAATTGCACGATCCGAGGCCGTAAAACTCTGCAGATCCGATCCTGCTGCCTGGGAAGAAGGAGCGCAGGTGCTCCACAAGCTCATACGTCCTGGTGCGGCCCTCCTATACGCGTACTGCGATGCATCCTTTTCAGGTCGCCTTTCGGCGTGTGATCCTGTCCGGGGGCTACGATACGAGTTACCGGGCGTTGGCACGGCGTGCGCAGCGCGCTAACAGCCCACTGAACAGTCTGGTGCGGCGCGGTAGCGTGGCGCGCCGGCTTTTCATGTACGGTGAGTGGTGGCGCAGGAGGAGTGAGCACGCGGGGAAGCGCGAGGCACGTGTCATGGTGCTTGGTGCGGCGGCGTCATGGGCGATGTGGCGGTGCAGAAGATGCAGCAATGAGGAAGGGTGTGGCACACATCTGGCAATTGTTTGACGTGGCAATCGGTTGGTGGTTGATCTATGGCAAGGCTGATGATGAGGTTGTAATGGGTTACCTGAAATAAGTGATAGCGCAGATGCCCCAGGGCTATTATGGGCTAGTATGCCCGCCATGTGTTGTATCAGTTTGTTATGATGGCCGTCGATGGCCAGCCGTTATCCTATCTAAGTGATACGGTCTCCACGCCTCACCAGGAGCCCCTCTAGTGCCTGTCCTGCATTACGGAGCTTTTGGTGCACCGCGACGTCACCTGCTAGATTGCTCACTTCCCCGTCGGTCTTGGCCCTGTCCAGGTCTGCTGCAGTTTCTCTTCACGCTGGTGACTCAGGCTCTGGCGGTTACCACCTACCATAGCTTCGTGGCGGCGACGGCGTGGCAGGTGGGGCAGCAGGGACAGCTTGGCGATGTATCGGGATGGCGTCGGCGCCCAAGGGGTCCTGGTGTCTCGCGCAAGTGTGCCCGTTGCAAGTGCCCGCCATCATCGCCGGACAATTACCTTGTTTTGAGAGCTGGAGTGCAGTTGTGGCCTCTGCCCCTCCCGGGGCCCCAAGGACGGAATCCGTGGTGTCCGCGCCACACTGTTCCCGTTGGGTGGCGTTGAATCTCTGATGGCCTTTTGCCGCATGGCCTAGCTGCATATACATGGGATGCGCGAAAAGGCCGAAAGGAGCTAATGACCCCTTCCCAGGTAGCACTGCAGGCATCTCTGCCAGCCTACTTCGTCCCAACTAGAGCCTTGTCTGATTTTGCTGTCCGCGACCCCTGAAGGGTGTTGGGTACATGGGGAGAACTACGCCTTGCAGTGACAGGCTCGCTTGACTCTTAAGGCATTGGGGGGTTGCGCGATTCCTTCTTTTGTGTGGGGGCGCGTGTGGATAGGTGTCTGTTGCTAATGCCTCGCTACTCCGGCGCGTTCATTATTCTGGAGAACATGCAGTACCGCGTATGCGCTCCATCTTTCCCCTGAGGCATGTTTCCTTTCAAAAACCTTTCAAAACCCCATCACGTCCGCGTTGTGCGCTGCCTGGTGGCGGCGCCGCCGCTCCGTTTCATGGGGCAGGTCGTCAAGTTCGTAGTGCCGTTGTACCTGGGGGCCTGCCACCAGTGCCAGCGGCTGCCGGTGCAGCAGCTACGAGCGGCGGCGGCGAGGCTGGGGGCGTTAGAGGCGCAAAAAGCGCCACCAAGAGCGGCCCAAGCTGCACGTCGCGGGAAAGGGAGGCAACTATTGGAAGACAACCAGGAGCCTGAACAGGCTTTCGAAGTCGCCGCGACGACCGGTTGCGACTGTGTGGCATCCTTATCGACTTAAATGAGGGGGGAAGGTAAAAAGTATTATGCGTACACGCGGGCAGGGCCACGTTGAGAACGATATTCTCGGTAACGGTAACGGGGCAACGGTTGCATTGTCATGCGATGGCTTGCGATGGCTTGCGATGATGAGGTTATTTATTATCGGTGTGGCTATATTGAATGGATCAATAATCTGAGCTGGGCCGGGGCTTTTAGAATGGTGATAACCGTGCACCCGCTGTCATTTTTTGGATGCCGTACACAAATGGGTGAGGTGAAGCGACGTGATTCGAAGCAATAACTGCCATGCCACAGAAAGAAATCCATCGTTATTAATTGTTTATCTTTGTACAGATGATGCAGTATCGGATTCGCGCGTGCGTGATTTTTTCTTGCTATATCTCAGGGGGTTGTTCGGTGCGATGCACGTATGCGGCAGTAACGGCTGCAGCAAGGAGTTCGTTGCATGAATGAAGGAAACAAATCCAAAATGGATTAAGATGGTTGCGACTGTTGCGCGCTTCAGCAAGGCATGTCCATGGCATTGAAGGACTGAGCGCGTCTGATTATCGTGGGGCATTTCACTGGACATGACTGTGAGAGGTGGTGGACTGTTACCCTGGTCGGATGGCGAGGAGGACTATCTAAAAGTCGCCAAGACCTGGAATGAGAAGAATATGCACAAGAAGCAGAAATGCGCTATTTTGCTGCGTTATTGGCTATCCACAATCTTGTTTAGCTAGGCAGTGTTTGATAATGGAAAATTAATGGGCATGCGCGCTCGACCGCCCTGGTGCGCACCGAGGCATCCACTCATGCCGACTCTATCGCCGCGCGATATGGAACCCTGAAGTATGTGGACTTTGGAAGTCTGGATGATCAAACCTCCTTTCGTCCGGGTATGTAGTTATTGCTGCATGGGCTGTGCTGCTTGCGGCGAGGGAATATTGTTATGAAAATGGCTACGGTCTTTTAAGGTAACGAGATAATGCAACAGTAAAAGGCTATAGAACTAATATGTAAGAAAGTAATATAATATCCGTCATTACGTAAGCTTTGCGTGATATTCGCCTCCAGTGCACGTGGATTAATAACGCTAAATATAAGGAAGAAAGCAATGTAATGTTTCAATAATTATACATTTGAAAGAAAGGTTGGAAGCAACCCCTATAAACCAAAACGTTCAGGCAGCTCTTCGTGTCGAAGGCAGCCTTTTAACAAGAAGGCCCTGCATGTGGATAACATGCAAGACTTTCGAATTACCCCACAAGATCTGCGAAGTTGACATATCAGCATGCGATGCTGTCGGAATTGCCGCTTAGTTAGTCTGCTGTCGTACACTGGTAAGTTGACAAAGAATGCCGTGCAGTGATTATGCAGGAGCACATACGTAATCATAAACCAAGGATCCTTGACCATCTCGATGTCGCCTGCTTCTTTAATTCCTCTCGTACTTTGTTACCTTTTTCCTGGTTCCTTCAGCGAGTCAAAATGCCGCGCGCTGCTTGCGAAGAGGGCGTCGATCTGGAGTCGCAAAACTCTGATGAGCGACAGAAGGCCATGCGTGCGCAGCTGATGGCACCGGTCAAGTCGACAACGGACGAGTGGGTTCGCGGCGACCCAGGTCAGTAAGCTGCTTTCTGCCATTGTAAAGATGTGCTCTGCATACTGGATGATGATCCATTTTCCTGCAGGTCCATTTGGGCTTCTGTGCTTCGGCATGACTACCTGGTAAGTCGCGCGATGTGTGCGCTTCGGTTGGTCAAAACTATTATCAAAGCTCCTTTTTAAGCGAGTTATATGAAGAATCGCAAACCGTTAATTAATGTTATTTCCCCACTTGCGTAGATGGTTTCCTGACGGCGCCATTTCCGTTCCCTTTGTCCCACTTTTCCTACCGATCTCCTAACGCGGGCGTCCAATAGCATGTTGATGTTCATCACAACAGAGTAAGTGGATATTTTATGATAAGTTGACATAATATGCAGCCTGATCTGGTGCTCACAGGTTTTGTCATCGATTGACAGCTTTAGGGTGCATTTCCAGTGGCGGATTAAGGCCAGGGATTAGGGCACGGAAGTCCTTGGTACGAGCTTACCACATAGTTTTGTTCCATAAGGGAACCAAAGGTTGAAAAGGCGAGGTAACTTTGCCAACAACTTAGCCGTTTGAGCAAGTATCGATGGAGGACAGAGGGTTAATCCCTGGCCTTAATCCGCACTGGAAATACACCCTTAGTCAGCTGTGAACTAATTACTTCATTGTGACAATCTGCAGCTGGTCTGAATCTACATTTCTTCCGACCGTCATGTGCTACGCCATGTTCTACGGTGGATTCGGCCAGTTCGTCGCTGGCGTCCTTGAGGTGCGACCGCCGACAGGCGCTGCTCTGTATTCACACGCTTCGTAAAGGATGTCATGGATTTGCATACCTGAGGATTTAAATAGTCTCCAAGGTCCATGGTATCTGGGACGTTGCTTCTGTTGACATTAGTTGCCGTACCGCCGGTACGGTACCGGCTCATTTCCACCGTTACAGTTGATCAAGGGCAACACTTTCGGCGGCACTGCCTTCGCCAGCTACGGAGCTTTCTGGATGGGCTGGTGAGTGCTTGCAGTGCCATACAGCATACCTAACTGCCGTACGCAGCTAATCCTATCCACGGACCAACATGCACGTGCACGAATCGCAGCAGCTTGTCCGCCTTCACACCGCAGTTTATTTCCCTTCTCCCTGCACCGCTCGCTCATTCCATCCTTCCTTCCGTTCCAAAGGTTCCTGTTGGAGCTCCTGATGAAGCAGTACCCCTCGGTGTACAAGACCGCGCTCACGGGCAAGACGCTCTGGTGCGGACTGTGGGCCTTCCTGACGGCCGGTAAGAAGAAGACGGGGGGTACAGGCAGGCAGGTATGCATGCAGGCATGCGTGCATATGCTCCCGTGCGGCATGGTCCTGGCCGGGCTTGTTGTCTGTTTTACAGCAGCACGTGGTGCAAGCTGTCAGTTGTTTTCAGCACGAAGGAATGGGGCTATCGCGCCCCAGACTGCTTCTGTTGTGTCCGCTGGCGAGTGGTCATTCGCAGTTCGGTTTGTCCCCCGTAACCAGTTGGAATTAGCATGGCACGTCACCTGGTCACCGGCGCTGATTATTGCAAAACTTCATTCAGAACGTTTTAAAGAAACCTTTATGGGCGTAGCTGGAACCTGGGCACGTCGTCATGCATCATTCCAGCCCAAAGTTTTCCTGGCTTAAGCTGCTTACAGAGTTTTCATTTTGCCTACTTTGTGTCTGTCTATTTTCCGAAACCAGGATTCTTCGTTGTGACGCTGCGCAAGAACGGCTGCCTGATGACCATCTTCTCAACCCTGGTCATCACCTTTTCGCTGCTGGCTGGCGGAGTGTGGAACGAGAGCTGCGAGCTGGCCGCGGGCTACTTTGGGTTCTTCTGCGGCGCGTCCGCCATCTACGCCGCCTTCGCCTTCCTGTACAAAATTGAGCTCGGAATCGTGCTGCCAGGCGCGAGGCCCGTTGCATATATTTAGATATTTAGATACAAACTACAGAAATTTTGCAGGACTGGATCTTGGCTCGTTAAGCGGCGTTGCCGCTATATCGCGTCTATCGATTGTGTTATCACCCCGTCAAGTTGCATCTTGCGGGCATACGAGAACGTAAACCAATCATATGGAACTGGTGTGCATGTGGCATGTGACATGTGGCATGTGGCATGTGACACAGCAGGTGGTCGAAGAAATGGTGTGTAGAAAGTTCGACTGCGATGTAAGGTGAAGAAGTACGTGGCGAAGAACAAGAAAGGGATATGTAGTTTAAATCTATTCGGTGGGTGCTTCGGAATGTAGCCAGCCTCGGAAAGATGTATGTACGATAATCGAGAGGAGAAATCGATGCGAATCAGATCAGTATAGGGGTGAGTGACCTGTGATGTTATGTGTGTATAAGGGCTTGAGACGACCCAAATCACGACAAGTTGGTTGATGATGGACTCGCGCTTTGCGCTTATACGGCATGCAACCGACGCCAAGACAGTTTTTTGGCGCGTTGCATGCTGCGCTTTGCGATGCTTTGTGTGTTTTTGCTGGACAGGTTGCCCCCGGCGGGATGGACGCTGCTGCAGAGCTAGGGTTTTTTGTGGGGGCGGGGTATGTGAACTGGATGAACTTTGTTTAAGGTATTTTGGCTCGGGAGGGAGGGAGGGAATCGGATGGTAGGACTGGCTGGGCGACGGGGTGCGCAACTTTTTTAGCGCTGTGTACGGTACCCTCACGCACCGCCGTACCTCGCCCGCAACCATTGCAACCTTTTTTTGCAACAGTCGTGAATGATAAATTTCGAATCCGATCATGTGCCATGTGCCTTGATTGCTGGGTTCCCTGCGTTTTTGTACGTTTTGCAAATCGATCGGGTTAGGCAGAACGATTCTGGGAGGCAAAGAAATGATACTAAGGGCACTACGCGTGATGACATGTGTGATTGTGATGGATGAAAGGGATGTTGGGGGGTTTGGCGACTGCCGACTGCCCGCACTTCTCACGTGGAGCTAACTGGCCGTGGCAGCGGTCGTGCGTGGCTGTTGTCACGCCATATGACGTGCTAACAGACATAAGAAATGCGGATGGATCACTGTGTGTTTTCATGTCAGGCCCTCCGGCGCGAGCCATATCTGTGCTACCATCGGGGGGGAGGTTATTCGTAGCGGAGCAGCTGAAACCATAAGGTACTCGATTGCCGCCATGCGTTCTCATGTTCTACTTCGTCCCCGGCCACACGGCCACACGGCCATGGGCAATCCTACAGAGCGGGGCCCCCCTGGGCGCTTCGCGCTGGGGCCCCGCCCAAAAAGCTCTATTTGGATCTCTACTGCAGTGCCAGTGGTGCACATCTCGCGTGACTTGGCCCCTACACAGGGCATTGGGTCCTCGCGCCCTCGAAAATAAACAGATTCTGCGCCCCGCAAGTGGGTACATCCTAAGCAGGCGGTTACAGCATCTTGTCCACTGCAGTCATGTCGAACTTTCCGTGCAAAGACACCACACACGCGGATATGTGGCCACCAGTTGATGGATCGAGATTTGCACGCTGGATTGGTGGCGACTGCTGAACCCTCTGTCTCTGCGGATGTTCGGGTGAACGGATGAGGATGGATCCTAGAAGGCAGGATCAACCGCCTTGGACTTCCAGTTCGTATGGCGTAGTACAGTGTGGTAATGGCGGATGGTGCTGTATGGTATGATAAATCGTAGAAATGACAATGTGGTCAAATGGCCCAGAAGCCTCCCACCCTGTAACAATCCAAGAATATGTGACCAACCGTTGGCGTGTCGCTGCGGACGGCCGATAGCGCACCCACCGAACTCTGCGTGTGTCTCAGTGCCTGCGTGCTGGCCATGTACATACAGCGGACTGCAGGGTAACAGGACTGCACGAAACGTTAATGCCAATAACTAGGGAGAGGTGGAATTCGCCAGGAAGTGGCAGCCCCAGCCCCAGCCCCGGCTGGGGCTGCCAGCCCGTGCTATCCCGGTTCTATGGGGTGTAGCTCGCGAGCCCGACAGCGGTACTGCTGCCAGAACTGCTACTGCGTTCCTGCTTTCGGAGCCAGCACTGGGCATGTGCGTGTCCTTACACGCACAATAGGCCCGACGCGAGACAACGGGTACGGACGGGTTGCAGCGACTTTATGCCGGCACTCACGGGCTTAGAGACGAATTGGGGGTAGAGTAGATTCCAATCTTATTGGAACCCGGAGACTGTTGCGCCAAGTGGGTTACGTGGGTAACTGATATCTGAATGAGGGTCGTACCGTATCTGGCATTAACCAGATTGTAACGCATGACCGCATGTCTTCGTCCCATGTTTTGTATTGGCAACCCGCCATAATACAGTTTTTTTAATCTAATTTTGGAGGTTGTGGGCTGGTATACTGTTGGGGAGCACGGTTTTATATACGCAACCCGGTACGCTCCGCTGCGCCGGCGGAGACGAGCCGGCGCTCCCTGACATTCTAAGAAATGCCATTCCACGTGCGAGGTTAATCCTACCAGACTCGCTAACATTGGTCCTTGCCCTTCCATTTCTGCCCTCTTCTCCAATTCTCTGTGCGAATTAATTTCCCAGCGCTCTGTTAACGATTAAAACGTGGGTGGTTGCTGGCGAAGCCGCCGCTTTTATGGCTTTTGACTGCAACTTTGTGATCGCTGATGGTCTTCGCAACCCAGCCATGACACAATATCACAAGCCATGAAACAATCAATCACAAAAAGGTTAATGTAGTCGTATGGAGCCTGCGGCAAAGCGAAAGGCTGCAACTTGGCTGTAAAACATTCCTCCCAACGAGCCTGATTATCTTAGTGGTCAGCTGCATAAGGTGCTCACTACTTTCATGTTGCTTCACCTATAAGATGCGCAGAGCGAGATCCATTCTTGAGCTGACATCAGCATGCTTACCAAATTGACGGCTTAGTCATTCGGTTAGCGTAAACTATTTTACGGTGTACGGCAACGTTTATGCAAGGTATTTGTATTAATAACCTAATCCGCCATCTAGTTATCCACAATGCTGTCGCTGACGCGCTGCTTATTATCTTTTACAAAGTAATTTAGCCCCTGGTCCAATTGACTTGTCAGAGAATGAAGATGCCGCGTGCTTCTTGCGATGAGGCTGTTGACATGGAGTCGCAAAGCTCTGATGAGCGACAGAAGGCCATGCGTGCGCAGCTGATGACACCCATGGCGGCAACAACGGACGAATGGGTTCGTGGCGACCCAGGTCAGTGACAGAGTTGCTTTCTGTCATTTTGGCGGAGTGCGCAGCATAACAGATGATATTCCATCTTCATACAGGTCCATTTGGGCTTTTGTGCTTCGGTATGACAACCTGGTAAGTCGCTCGCGTAAAGGAATTCCGGGGTTGTGCGCTTCGGTTGGTTGGAACCACCCTCAATTTTCGCCTTTTGGAGAAATTCCTGTAGCATAGCAAAGATTTAAATAAGAATTCTTTGAATTCTTTTTGACTTTTTTCCTGACGACGCCATTTGCATTCCCTTTTCCCTTTCTTTTCCATTATACATCCTAATGCGGACGCGGAACAGCATGTTAATGTTCATCACGACAGAGTAAGTGAAATATTTTGAGTAGCGTGGTCTGGTGTCATGCTTACAGGTTTTGTCATCGATGACAGCTTTAAGTCAGCTGTGAACTAATTACTCAATTGTGACAATCTGCAGCTGGGCTGAATCTTCATTTCTTCCGACCGTCATGTGCTACGCCATGTTCTACGGTGGATTCGGCCAGTTCGTCGCTGGCGTCCTAGAGGTGCGACCGCCGACAGGTCTGATGCGGCGCTGCTGGTGTCTGTCATCATACGCATATAATCAATGCTTCGTGAAGGATGTCATGGATTTGCATACCCGAGAATTTAAAAGGTCCACGGCATCTGGGACGTCGCTTCTGTTGACATTGGTTGCCGTACCGGCTCATTTGCCACCATTACAGTTGATCAAGGGCAACACTTTCGGCGGCACTGCCTTCGCCAGCTACGGAGCTTTCTGGATGGGCTGGTGAGTACTTGCAGTGCCGTACAGCACACCTGACTGCCGTACGCAGCTAATCCTATCCACGAACCAACATGCACGTGCACGAATCGCAGCAGCTTGTCCGCCTTCACACCGCAGTTTATTTCCCTTCTCCCTGCACCGCTCGCTCATCCATGCCTGTTTCCGTTCCAGGTTCCTGTTGGAGCTCCTGATGAAGCAGTACCCCTCGGTGTACAAGACCGCGCTCACGGGCAAGACGCTCTGGTGCGGACTGTGGGCCTTCCTGACGGCCGGTAAGAAGAAGACGGGGGGCAGGCAGGCAGGTATGCATGCAGGCATGCGTGCATATGCTCCCGTGCGGCATGGTCCTGGCAGTTTCGCAGCGCAGTGTATGTGTGTTGCTGTAATGTGGGCTACTTGTGATATTAAGAGTCCACAATCGTACAAGGACATCGCTGCATTGCACCTCCCACGGACAGTCGCAAATCATCCTATACTCCTTACACTTTGCAAGCAAATCCGTTTGTTTTTCACATCCATATCCGCTGTTCCAGGATTCTTCGTTGTGACGCTTCGCAAGAACGGCTGCCTGATGACCATCTTCTCAACCCTGGTCATCACCTTTTCGCTGCTGGCTGGCGGAGTGTGGAACGAGAACTGCGAGCTGGCCGCGGGCTACTTTGGGTTCTTCTGCGGCGCGTCCGCCATCTACGCCGCCTTCGCCTTCCTGTACAAAATTGAGCTCGGAATCGTGCTGCCAGGCGCGAGGCCCGTTGCATATATTTAGGGGAGTTCATGAGCTTATGGTTAGCTAGCTTACAATTAGTTAGTGAGCGTACTAATGTCCGGGCATGTGATTATCGTCGAAGCGCTTTCGCTTTCGCTGTACGAAGATTTCCAATGAACCAATCCTTTTGTCTGTGTTCATTGCGCGCCGATTTTTGCCCGTTGGAACTCGGGTGCGCGGCGCGGTGGTTGTTCGCGGCTGAATCGAAAAAAGGAGGAATTTACAGGTTTTGTGGCTATTAGGGTTGGGCGTTGAGGTGTGACACGATGGCGCTAGGAATGCTAGGAGTGATCTAACGTTTGAATCATGTATTCGCTACCTATTGATAGATAAACCTCGATACAGTTATTTTCCTTGGGTTATGTGATTGCGTGTCCCCCTTGGTTTGGCCCTCGTTCGACGCGGTTCATGTTCGGCGCTTATACGGCATGCAACCCACACCAAGACGGGCCTTTTGGCGCGTTGCATGCTGCGCTGTGCAGCGGCGCTTGTTTGTTACTATTGGCAGTACGCCAAGTTTACCTTTTTGGGGATTGGGATTGGGATTAATCTTCAGTTATACAGTCAATTTTCAGTTATTGTAGAACTGGCGCCAAAAAGGATGGAAGCGCGGGATGAAGAATGGCAGCACTTGAACACGATTTAATGGAAATAAATCCTGTACATGAGTTGTACCTTTTTGGTATGGGTTTACGTGGGTTTTCATGGTGTACTACCCAAACAGAAAGGACTATTATTTTTTTTGTAAACGTCGAAATTTGGTGGCATCTTGCCTGTCAATACCGTACTCAATACCGTACAGCCTTTTCGGGCTGGCACGACCCCACCGCCCCCAGTAGAGAGAGATACAGACGGACACACACACGCAACAAAAAAAAGACCGCAATCCCTGAAATCGATATGGCTTTGGGGCAGTGCAGCGCTCCTTAATACTTAATCAAAAAGGTAATACTCACACGTCCCCTGTCGTACCGTAACCCTGTGTCCTGGTCATATCGACTGCTCTTGTACTGCAAGCGTGGTCCCTTGTACTCACTCACGTAAGCCCTAGTAGCGCACATGTGGCCAACTGGGGATAAACCACATCCCATTATCTGTAGGCTATTTGAATGAATGTTGTTCCATTACCGGATTCACACAGGGCCGGTATGCTGCCCGCACCCAAAACCTGGGAGACTTACGAAGGCTATGTAACCTCGTGTTACAATACAAGTGCGGAGTAGGATGGTGCTTATAGGCGATCTGGCAGCCCTTGAGCCCTCGGCTCGTAGTTGGGCGGTTTGCAGGTACGGGGAACGCACCCCCACGACCGTATAACGCACACACACAATACGCCCAACCCAACCGGAAAATTACTCCCCTGCTCAGCAGGACGCATGACAGAGACTCTAGGCACAGCTTGCGCTCGTGGGCCAGAATTTTAACTTTAATGGGCGGGAAATTCTAGCCCTGAGCGGCGGATACCCCTCACAAGCCACCAACAGCAAGGGCAAACCTTCACTGCTAGTAAGCAGGGACAGCAATAGGGCATTCTGTTGCACCTTCTTGCCCCTACGTGTCGACCTGCACGTACGACAATTCGCGCATTTCCCAGCAGCGGAAGGACAATTACCGCCGAGGCGCCTAAAAACTGGAGAGAAACGGCACAAACTGCTGTCCGCTTCGTTGGTCTGTACGGATCAAGAGTAACCACGAGCGGGACGAGCAGCAGTGGCTGCTGTGCTATCCCACGGCTGCCTTTGCTGGGTGTACCACACACTTGCTAAGCTCCCCCTACCTTCCGTGCCACTGTGCAGGAAGGTAAGCGGTTGCTACCCGGGGCTGCGCGCGCGTCCCGAGGCATCAGACCGGCACCACTTCGCACCATAAACTCAAACTTTTGAACGGTTTTCTTTGGCTGTCGTTTTAGTCGGTGTTTTAGTCGGTGTTTTAGTCGGTGTTCACACCTCGGGGGAAGAGGAAAACCCTAAAGCTCTGACCTCTGGGGGCTCCAAGCTGGACCGCGCAGAGAAGAGCACAACGACAGAAGACGAGCAATGATTATTTATTCAGGTCCCCAAAAATTTTGGTGGTTGCAATATAAGTAGCCAGGACGCTTATTGGCATACGCGTTCCAGGAGGAGGAAACTGGTTTGTGAAACGAAGGCGGAACTTTCAGACCTAAACCCGCAATTTGGATCTCACGTGGTTTCAGTACTGTAGGGATGACAGGGAAGTAGAAACGCTGCTAGGTTTGGTGCTCAAGCAGCTCGAGTTGCATCTCTTTTTTACGTCTCTCTTCACAATGGAAAACATACAGCAAAAGGAAAAAGGTCTAGAAAGGTAAGCAACTCCAAACAAAATAAAGAAGAGCATCGTGCACTGTTGCGTACACGCACATGCCCGCCCGGCCCTCTGCCAATTCGCTTGCGGAAAGTGCACCGCACCCCTGGCCATGACCCAGCCACGAACCGCCTAGGCCTGCAAAGCCGTCCACACTCCCCCGCGCCATAGCGCGCCATCAGCGCAGCTTTGGTAAACCTGGTGTCTCTTTTAACTGCTCACACGCGGCAGCCCTTGCTGCGGCAATATGCACACTCAGGAAGGGCTGCGTGGTCAAAGTCACAATGCATACGGGACACACCGTCGCGTCAACTACCGGTAACCGAACAAATCACCGACGTCCGCCGTACAAGCTAATGAAGTCCCCACGGGCCCATTTTGCCTAGGACACCAGCCAGCAGTACTGAATCATCGCAATGGCGACCCAATCAATATAAGGTCCATATAATCTGTGACGGAGGCACACCTCACAAATCTCACTACAATTGCTGCCAGTCACCCACACACGGTGCAGCACAAGCCTGTGCCGTACATACGTAAGTGTTGTACGGCTTCCAAAGCCGTAGTTGTTGTGCTTATGGGTCTGGAAGACCCAGGCGCACTCGTGCAACACGCAGTGCATACAGCCGTGTGCCGTGTGAGCGGTCCTTGCCCGGAGCCGCTGTGCAAATGATGTGCAACATGGATAGGTCCCAGGGCAGGTCTTAGCTCTGGCTTGCGCTGATGTGCCCTCTGTTGCTCCTCCTCGGGACCGCTACTGCTGCTGCTGCCGCCGCTACTGCTGCTGCGGCCACCGTTACTGCTGCTGCTGGCTCCAACCGCCTGCTCTCAATGTACCCCTTGCTGCTGCTGCTGCTACGTCTGGCGCTACTGCCATGGCTGCTGCTGCTGCTACTGCTGGTCTTCCTGCTGGTCGTAACGAATCTCCTCAAAGATTTTTTTGTTGGGTGCGGAGAGCACGTGCCATACACCGCACTTTGCGCATTGCCCGAACACTGCACCCTTATCCCAAGCGATAGGATTCACTAGCCTTGCCGTACGGCCACCTGTACGGTCCACCACGTGAGGAAAGTACGACTGGTCAATGAGTCAAAGCGATAATGAGCGCACGTGCATAACGGGCACATAGCTTGCGCATGTGCTTGTAGAAGTTATGCGATTCCCAGCTGTGTGCTTTCGTTTGTGCTTTCAGAAGCAAGTACTTTGGAGATTGCGCAAATTAACTTGCTCCACATGAGCTGCTGGGCTTGCTTGGCCCTTAAGTGTTTGCCTTCGTGAGAGATGCCAAAGCTGTGTGCGTGCCCTGGCGTGGCGTGGCGTGGCGGCCGTTGGTGTTCAGGGGTCTAATGGAGGTGATGACACGGGCGACGCGTGGCAATGTGTGGTTAGGTTTCAGCTGCCGAGTCTGCCGTAGGTGAGGAAGGATCCCGAATTGCTTGGATGGTAGTAAGATTGCGCCCGGGCGCACATGGCTGTTTCGGAGGATGGATGGATGGATGGATGGGGGGAAATGAGCTGCAACTCTGACATGGATGGCTGATGACAAGCATGGAGACATCCGGGAAGACGTCGTGCGTGAGGTTTACCGGCCTCACCGCATTTGTTGCACGTGAAGAGCACAAGTTTGGTTCGGCGCTGGCCCTCGGGACCCAGCGCCGATAAAGGAATGCGGACCACCTTGTTTTCCTCGTCATAGTCGATGTTTGACGTCCCGTCTTCTTCTTTGGCTTCAATCCGAAGATCTGCGGCACGCCACGGCGATGATGAGTCGGTTCCCCGCTGCTGGACCCGTGAAGTACAAACTTCAGGTGTCCAGTGGAAGAGTGACTTTTACACTGCCGCGACCCTACCCACCAGTTGGCACAGGTTCTAATGAGTAAGATCGACACGCCAGCGGCGAAATGGCTGGTTGAACTTGCGGAGGCCCCTGACGCGTCCAGTGCGCCGAAAATAATCTTCGGTTATTTGTACATCTCAATATGGATGAAGAATAATGATGGTGTGCTGGAGATGTGACAATCGATACTGCCGGAGTTGAAGGCTTTCTCACACGGCTGTTTTGTGCGCTTGCGCACGATGGTGCCTTGTAGATTAACATTATCACTGCAAATAGTCAACAGTGGCAAGTGCTAGCTAAATCTAGGATGTGGGTCAAACACTTTGGGCTGGAGCTGTACGGTCGCTCCAGTCTGGTTTCGCTGGCGAACGAACTGTTGCAAGTGATCCCGACCATATATACATGTGGGGATTTGCGAAGCGAAAACCTCTTGGACTGTGAAAGCAGAGCTCTTGTTCTGCAAAGTTAGGTGGGTGTGGCGCGAACATCACCAGACTTCCAATAAACGCAGGCTCCTTCAGGACCTCAGAGGAACTAAAGATGGCGCGCCACCTTTTAGCTGTTTTGCCTTTGCTCCTCTGTGCAAGTTTGTATTTCACTCACGCAACGGCTCAGGAGTCAGCACCTCCGTCGCCGGAAGCATATGATGTGAATACGGAGCTCGAGAAGCTTAAAGGGGTAAGAGCATTGGGTTTTGTAGGCATGAGGTCGGACTAAGCAATACCGATCGGAACCCTGCCATGGGACCGTACCGCGAGGGCAAGGCCGGGTTGTTTAATTTGACCCTGATCATCTCACATAATGCAGTGGAAGGCGTATCTGCTTGCGGAAGTTGACAAGTATAAGGCAGAAGTGGAGAAGGCCCAGACCGCACTGCAGGCAGAGCAGGTTGGTTTCTGGGTTAACGTCGTGACAGCTAGACCAAAGCACATACAAGGATCGCACTTATTGTATTCCAGTTACTTGGGCGCAAATTATGGCAGGCAGATGTCTCTGGTTGAGGCGGTTTTGTATGCGCAGCTGTCCTCTTCTCGTGTATTGGGCAGACCCGCTTTTACCTGTCAGGATTGCTGACAGCTTTATCTCTTTGATGACAGACGTTTGGCGGTCAACTCCCTATATAACAGACCAACGACACCAACGACACTAACCACACCAGTGGTAGCACAGCTGAATCTAGCATAATCTAGGCTGAATCCAGGACGGCGCCCGCAGCCGTATCTCCCTGGATGAGCTATTCAACCATAACTTTCACATTTATTCCACGGTGCATTCTGGTTTCATTGCTAAATAACCACCACTTCGTTTTCCTCGCATTCCACGTACAGCAACGCACGGCTGAGCTCACCTCGCTCGTGGAGCAGTGGAAGCAGGCCTCTACCGCTGCCGAGGCGAAGGCCGCTAATGCCGAGGCGAAGGCTGCAGATGCTGAAGCCAAGGCCGCGGCTGCCGAAGCAAGGGCTGCAGCTGCCGAAGCCAAGGCCGCCGAGGGAACCCACTTCAGCGCCCAAGTTGAGCAGCTTCAAAGGGATGCAGTGGCTGCTCAGGCCAAGGTTGCGGAGGCTGAGGTCAAGGCCGCCGAAGCGGCTAAGAAGGCGGCTGAGGCAGAGGCCCTGGCCGCGTCGCACGCCCAGTACCACACCCAGATGAGCGCTCAGGTTGAGAAGCTCAAGCAAGACCTTGCCGCGGCGGAGTCGCGGATTTCAGCGCACGCGGCGTCGGCGGACGCCTCGAACGGCGAGGCTGCGCTGCTACGTAAGCAACTCGCTGACGCGGTTGCTGAGCGTCAGGCCCTTGATGATCGGATTACGGAGCTGGCAAGCGCAGCGACCAAGGTACAAGCTGCATTATCTGCATGGCTGCTGCTGCTGCAGATTGCGGGCTGTGAACGTGTTTGCTGCAGCAAGCAGCTGCAGAGGAAAACGGTGTTTACTGTACTATAGACTCGTATTCCAAGCTTTCAGCTAGTATGGCTATTTTGGCGGGGGACTGCCTCTCGCGAGGGAAGACAACATGCGGCCTCTTGGTCCCTCTCTCTCAGCCGTTTTCCCGGGTATGCACGATTTGGGTCATCCGCTCTGCAGGGCCCCCTTTCTGTCTCCCTACGCTCTATACCTCTTCTGTCTGTTGCGGCGCGGTGCGATCTAATGAGAAGTTGATGGATTGCGGCATGGGCTGCTATTTTCTTTTGTGTGGCTGTGCAGGCCGGCGGTCTGCGCGGTCATGCCTTGGCAATTTACAACATTCTGCTGGAGGAAGTGGCACGTCATCACGAGAACGCTCTCAACTACGCCAATGAGAAGCTGCCTGGCTTCAAGGTAAATCACATCGTTTATAAGACTCGCCGCTAGTATATGTACACGCAGGACAAATTGTGTGAAAACAACCTAATTTGAGGAAACCAATGCTGCTCGGCAGTGAAAGACCCATGCTTGTGGATGAAGAGCCCTTTGGGGTTTCGTAGAAACGCAGACGGCGTGGCCTCCCTGACTCAATCACGCCGCAAGCTGTATCATTTCGTGCAGCCATCCACTCATGCCGTCATGTTAAGCCACAGCTTCCCTTTGTTGCCTTTATAACGAATCCGGTGACCTGCGGCGTGTTTTATTACTACGTGGGATGCAGGCTAAGGTGGCGGAGGTTCACGCGACCTTCTCGTCCCAGATGCCAAACGTGACTGGCCACGTGGGCAAGTTTGTCAACAACGTAGATGGGGAGCTGAGGCCGTGGCTGCGACAGACCCTTGGGTCAGTCCCTGCTCTGAAGCCGTACAGCGAAGACCCCGTGGTCCTGCAGGGCCTCGTCTACTTCGTCATTGGTGCCCCGGTGTTGCTGCTGCTCCTGCCCCTGCTTTCTATCATCTTCCGGTGGGTGGATGGGTGGGTGTGTATAGATTAATCGCCGCAGAGTGTCGTAATGGGGTCAGTGCAGCACAGCTGTGTTGATACGTTGTGCCATGAGCCGCTTGAGTTGGGGCAGAGTTTGAAGTATAGCAGGAAATGCAGTGAACTCCACAGCTGTCATGTCACAGGCCTTGTGACTTGGATATGTCCTGACCGGGAGTGTGAAAATCAGGTATGTGCAATATTTCCATCTACTCTTCGCGAGTCTGAAGCCCACTTTAACAACCAAGCACGTATGCACGCACAATATACACCTAAAACACATTAAAGAACTTCAACGTGTGTGTTTTGTCTCCCGCTCCCTATTCTCCCCAACCCCGATGCATAGTTTTCTGACTCGCCGGCCCAGCTCGTCCAGCGCTGGGCTCCGCTCCGAGACCAAGTCCTCCCGGCGCAACAAGAAGAAGCAGGGCTGATGGGGCGGCCCACGTGACGTTTGCGCAGATGGCTACGATGACATAGACCCGCACACGTCTAATGGACCAGCAATAACACCGTTTCAGCCGTATGCAATCGCACACTCTCACTCACAGCACCACATAGTGGTTCCTACTACTACGATAACTACTACTGCCGAACAACAACAGCACCCTGGAAAGCTGGTGGGCATGCGCTCTTCTCCGGCCATATTCTTTGCTACCACGGACGTTGCTATTGACAACGCCAGCGGCGGCAGCGCCCACGGAGCTTTAAGTCCCGACGGTAAGGCGCTATCAGGCGAGGCGGCGGCGGCATACACGACCTCGCGCAGAGCTACACCTGTCACTTGGCGCCGACCCACTCTGGCCCCAGATCAGCCAACCCGACCTCTTAGACCTTCGATTAGCCTCCATGGCGGCCAGCAGCAACAGCAGGACGAGCGCTTGCAGCCCTGGGAGTCGGTTGACTCTCCCGTCTAATAGCGCGGCAAAAGCTGGGGCTAGATCCGAGGCTGGGGTGGAGAGCTTGTGAGACCAAGGACGCAGGCGCACTCGCGGCCTGGAGGGGACGAGAGACAGGTGGAGGTGTCTTCAGTTAGCAAGTGGCTTCGGGGTATTTAGGGAGCCAGTCCCTTTTCACCTCTCGAGTGGTTTGGTTCTTGCTGACTGTAGTCCTCACAGCTCTGGGACTCTTTTGTTCATCGTCTGCTCTTTCAAGGGTCATCCGCGCTTTCCAAGAGAAAAGGTCTGCTGGGGTTGTGTGGCGCGCCTCCTAGGTCTCCTGGTTGGCCCTTGAGGTGAGGTATATGCTGGTGAGTTGCTTGTGAGCCATGTTATGACGACACAGGTTGTTGAGTATTGTTGTATGTACGTTGTGCATCATGTGCGGTTGTATATCACTTGAACGGCGACAGGTCTTGCAGAAATAGGACGTCAGTCAGTCAGCGGATAGCCGACTGGCTTGTCTCTTGCGCTGGACTTGGACATGACTTTGACATCTGGATCCTGGATTTGGAATTTAAGCTTGAATCCGGTTCCAGGTTTGGCCATGTGCGTGGACTCTCGTGGGCGGCATGGGCACGCGGAGGGAGGAGAGCGTGCTTTGAGATGTCGGAAAGGAAGGAGCTGCGTGGAGGTCGTCTTTCCTTTTTTTGTTCTGTGAAACGGGGTTGCGTGAGAGATTGAGTGGATGTCGTGCAGGCGTGGGGCTTGCTGTCCTTTTTAGAGACTGCATGTCGCTTCGTCCGCCTGGGGAGTGGGGTCTGGTGTGCTTTTGACTTGCAGGATGCGCGTCGTGGTTGTTTGGGGGGGGATGTTTTTCTGGGAAGTGAAGGAGAGGCTGCATAGAAAGCCGCAAGCTGTGAGAGGCGAGAAGCTTTTAGATAATGTAGGTCGGGTGAAGAGCGAGGGATCCTTTCAAAGAGCGAGCCTGGAGTGAAGGCTTTCTCGGCACCTCGAGATTGCCACGGTGCCGTGTGCAGGGTTCGCGAACTAGGATGCTGGGGCTTTTTGTGTGCTCAGCAATCAAAGAACTGCATGGGTCTGTCTTCGGTACTTGAGGTTTGGTTTGACAGGGGCTGGCGGCTGTCATTGCCTGCTTGATGCCATGGCGATGGTGGTTGTGGTGTTCGTTAGCGCGCGTATGTAGATTTTGCCTGTGTTTTGCGAAGGCGTACGAAGGAACTTATAACTTGTAATATTGTGGATTGCTTACATATCATGTTGCATGTACAGCGCTGGAGCAAAAAACGCGCTAGCACCTGCTGTTGCGATGTTGCGCAATCTTGCAGACCACCGAAGCATTGCACGTAAAAGTGCAGAGCAAGTGCGCGAGCCGAGCTCATCCAGCCAAACTCTTCGAGTCGCACGGACACAGGCTTGCACAAGAGAGGCAAAAGCTGTCGATGGCAGACAGCCCTGAAGACGTAATATAAAAAAACCCAATGCGGTGCTATCTGAACAACTAGCGGGATATGCACTGCGAACGAATAATACAAACAAAAGACCTCGGCGAAGAAACTGCACAAGAAGGCGTACACAACTATACAGTAAGGCGTGCATATGGCAACCCCCCGTAAGGACTCAAAACATGCGCTTTTTCCGCGCCATTAGAACGCCATAGACCTAAGATACCTGTATGTATAATTTCATAATGGGTGCTTTAAAAATCAACCGAGCCTCACAAGCTTGGAAACCGGCAAAAGGAAAGCGTGTATATGGTTTGGCAACTGAAATACCTACAATTCCAAAACCCAGCAGTTTGTCTGTTTCAGTGCTCTCAAGGACACGGCAAGGTGCGCTCCACATCGCTTTTGCAGGGACAACAAAGCATCAGGTTTTCTATTCTCTCACGCAGTCTGCCTCTCCTCATACGCATGCAAACATGCACAAACGGACGGATAAATTGGACGGGAGACAATGTCTCCATATCCTACCTGCACAGACGCACAGCCAAATCACCACAGATGCGCCGCGACCCCGACATAGCACGACATGTGGTTTTGTAGTCCACGGCCGCCCACTTACACCACCATTACAACCACAGCCACAGCCACAACAACATACTGTCATATTTCCCGCACTCGAGCCGACTCACCGCCAAGGCAGGCAGGTCAACGTCAGGCCCCCCACATTATACACCCCCATCCCCACCCCCCGGACCCCAGTCTCCCCAAGAACCCAATACGAACCCAATACGAATACAAGGCCCCATGGAGAGTGGCAAAATGTCACTATCCCCGCAAAGCGGGTATACGCGCGCACACAAACACCCCGCACATGCCGCATTTGTAGAAGCGAGCGGCCGCACGCGTTCTGGGGGGTGTCTCCTCTTCATGCAGGTCAGCAATCGGCCACATCGCCAGCTGCCCCCCAGCCTCATTGTTGCCTTCGCAACGTAGCGCCCGCTGAGGGCTGGGGGTGGAATGGTTGGAGACGAGAGTCTAGGATCGCTCGGGTGTGTGTATGTGTGTCTGTGTGTACAGGTCCTAACTTCAACATTGTCACCATCACAATCACAATCACCATCACAATCGTCACCACCGCAATCACCATCTTTTAGTATCACCCCGCGTGCACGCAAACTGTGAAACAGGTCCCAAGGACTCCACCTCCCCGGAGGTTTCTTAGCACCAGCACCAGCAGTAGCAGTAGCAGTAGCAGCAGCAGTAGCAGTAGCAGCGGCAGCAATCCTAGTAGCAGCAGCAGCAGTAGCAGCAGCGGAAGGAAAATGAAAAGACCATTCAGATCCAGACGAGAGCCAGTGTGCAATCACTACAGCAAGCTTCACACCGAGCATCGCATCACCGGATTTTGTGTAGTAGCCGTGGCCCAACTCGGCGAGCTTCCCGACTCGAGGCCCGCCTCGCAAAGCTCACATCAATACCGAGCCCACATACCTGGGTTGGGACTGCACCAGGCCCACTAAGCACGAAATCAGGCTCTGCCGCCGAAACCCCCTGAACAAACGCGTGTACGAATTCGTAAATGTACGGATGTACGAATCTAAACCAGATTCGCTTTCACAACGACCTTACACGAGATGCAGGCGATAGCACAACACACGAATTTGTTCTAAGTTCACGCGTTCGACACTATCCAGTTTTTCGGCAGGTATCACGTTTTATTATACTGTTTTGTTAAAACGATTTTCGGCCAAACAATTCAAACCCCAATGGAAATACCTCTGGGGGGAGGGTGTTGACCAAAGGGGAATCCGAGCCCGCAACGGGACCGCCTCCACCGCAGCAAAATACTGGACCAGCAACTCGAACCCCACAGCGAATTCCGCGACATCCGAAGGCAACAGCTCTAAATGGCACAAAAACTAAGAGCTCTGATGTACAAAAAAATAGAGAAAAAACGGAAAATTCCGCTCAGGCGCCTAGAGAGGGGCTCAACACCGGGAAACCGCCGACAAGCGCCGTCATGAGAGCAAGACGCGGCCCTCATCCCCCCCGGATCAATCATCATCCCCCGAACCGCGTATCACCAACGCATATGTATGTATGTATGCATCTACATCCACATCTACGGACCTTAACGTAGCCTGGAGCTAACTGCTGTCGTACGGGACATGGAAAAGAAAATATACCGTACAAATGAAAAAGGTCCCATGTGCTCCGTCCTATGCCCGCCCCGTCGTCATCCCACCCTACATGGATTGCTGCCGCCAAAAACTAGCAAAGCGTGTCGGCCCGACCTCATACCGTCCCCAAAATGGGCACATCTGGGCCCCAACCCCGGCCTCTCACGAGCGCGTGTGTGTGTGTGTGTGTGTGTGTTTCACCCCCCTTCCTAACCCCCTCCCCTTTTCTCATCCCCCATGCTTCCCTTTTCTGTGCGAGCTCCCCCCTCCCACCAAACTCGTCCTCCTCCTCCCTCCTGTTCTCCTCCACCTTCTCCTTCCCGCCCTCCACCTTCCGCTCCCCCCCTTCCCCCCCCGCAATGTGTCGCTCTCTTGCGACACACCAAGACGGCGAATGTCGTCACCATGGCTTACGTTACCGTTGCTGTTCTTGCTGCGAGGAATCGTACGGCAATTGCTGTTGCTGCTGCTGGTGCTGTGGGTGTGGTGATTGCGACGACGACTGTTGCAGCAAGTTCGGTTGTAGCGGCTGTAGCTGACCTGGGGGTCCGACGGCGCTCGAGGGAGGCGGCTTAAACCGTACGGGCGGCTGCTGCTGCTGCTGGGCGACGCTAGCCCCGGCCGGACCTCCCGTCGCCGCCGTCGCGACCACTGGCGGGAGCGCCGCCGGTCCCCCCCCCCCCACACCCCCTCCCCCCCCACCCCCTCCTGCAGCTGATATATCCTGCCCCCTCATCGAGGGGCCCCCGGCCATCTGCGCCGGCGCCCATCCGCCGGGGGCCATCCCTGGACTCCCCCCCCCTCCCACCATCATCGCCCCCGGGCCGCCAAAACCCCCTGCAGCCGCGGATATCATCCCCGGCGCAAACCCCCCCATCATCATCCCCGGGGGGATTCCAGCCATCAACAAACCGCCGCCGGGCATGCCGCCAACGCCGCCGCCGGGGCCCATGACCACGCCATGGCCTGGAGTGCCCAACATCACACCGGGACCGCCGCCTACGAGCATCATGGGGCCCGCGGGGCCGCCCAGAACGCTCGGCGGTGCCGCCGCCGACGGCGGCGGCAGGTTGAAAAGCGGCGGCGCCCCCGCCTGCGACGGCGCCGCGGCCATCCCTGCACCCGCCGGCACGCCGCCGTTCATTGTCGGGTCGTTGCCGTACATGTACGCCGCGAAGGCGGGGTTGGGTGTAAAGCCACTTACCCCGCCCATCATGAACAGCTGCTGCAGGAGCTGTTGCTGCTGCTGCTGGGGCGTCAAAGTTGGTTGTTGCTGAGGTGGTTGTGGTGGTTGCGGTGGTTGCTGCCCGGGAGCCGCCGCCCCAGCGATGGCGGCGGCTTGGATAGTTCCCGGCGGCGGGCGGAATTGTACGGCCGCCGACTGCGGCGCGGCCCCTTGCTGAGGTCCGCCGCCGCCGCCGCCGCCTGGACCGCCGGCGGTGGCGCCGCTGCCGTTGCCGTACGGCAGGCCACTTCTGACCGACAGGAGCAAGGTATGACGACGAAGCCAAGACCACTTGTTGCTGTCCGCCGCCACCGTTGGCGCTCTGCGGCGGCGGGGCCGCCGTTCCGCCAATCCCGTACGACTGCGGCGCGCCGTAATTGGATGACGGGTACATTCCCGCCACGCCGACAGTGCCGTACCTGTAGAGCCGTACGACATCCGTCTGAGCCGGGACAGGAAGGGAGAACAAACCCGCTCCGCAGTACTGTCGTACACCCCAGGCACGTCGCTTTCCTTCTTCACCCTCTTTTCCACCGGGTCCATTCCTCCCCCTCCCCCCCAGGAGAACAACCCAGACGTTCTCCCTCAACCGCTCAGGTGGTGAACGCGTGAAAAACAAACATACAAACAATCATACAAGCTAGCATACAAACAAATAAATACATACAAGCATACAAACAAACAAACATACACAGCAGCAGCACTCACCCGCTGTTAGGGCCGGGCCCAGCGGGGCCGTACCCGGATTGTGGGCCGTACCCGGAAGCGGGGCCGTACCCGCTGCCCGGACCATACCCGCTGCCCGGGCCGTACCCTCCCGCCGAAGACGGCGTCGAATTGGGGTCCCATTGGACATCTGGACGGTTGTACGACATGGTCGGAACGACAGTTGGAACGACAAATACGCAAGAGGATAAGGCCCAACTGAAAACCCCATGGCGGGAAGCGGAAGTGCGCCAGTTTTAAACGTAATGGGGTTGTGTGAATGCACGTACGTCTGTATGTATACTTGTTTGCATGGATGTACAGTACAAAAACACGCATGGAACGGGACTAAGGATTACAGTTGCGGCGTGCATTAACTGATTTTACTAATAGTACTATAATTCATTATCTTATACTTAATACTTTATGACATATGCACTATATATGTACTATATATGTATTATACATTAATATACTTTTATCATTATTGAACTTTGCTGCCAGGAGTAGCTGGGAGTCAGAACTTACAGTTCTTGCTCCNTCCTCCTCCC